AAGCATCATCAGCGGCAAGGGGAATATTAGATGTAGCTACTGTACTCTCTGGGACAAATTCATCATACATAGCAATCCTTTTATCACAGGCAACTTTCTCACAGGCAACATTTTCACAGCCAGTAATAGGGACATGGGCATTTTCACAATCAATAGCAGGGCCATCTTGTAAATAACTGTTCATAATAAAAACATTTTCATTATCAGTAACAGGGACAGAAACATCATAAATAACAAAAAGATCGAATTCCTTTGAGTTCCTTATGATAATGAGACTGACTATGCAACCTCGCAAACTTGTTTCTAGACTCACTTGGAAGGTTGAATTCCTTATGATAATATAGTACAAAGGGTTTCCAACTTCCTCCTCAAACAGAGTGATAATGAGAATTTTCTTGGAACAATTATAACTGTGGAATGAATAAAATAAAAAGAAAACATTCAGTCTTGAAGGAAAGAAAACTCAGAAAAGAATCAACTATGAAGCCAACGAAAATAGAGAGAGTTTTCATTTACTGATTTTCAACTTCCAAGAACATTCTCATTATCACTCTGTTTCAACTACGAACAGTCTCTTAGATCCATGGAGGGCATTTTCTGATTTTCATGTCAACAATATGTAAATGAAAGAATTACTTTAAATACATTAGTTTGGGTTATAATATTATTGTTTTATCATACATCAATTATATCTTCAAAAGACACCAGAGTTGATCCACTGACCGGGACACTTTATTAGATAGAGTGTAAAATGAATCTTTGTAGTTCAACAGACTTGTTATAAAGGCTTGTAAGGACTTGAGTTCCGTATAATAAGTGATGACATACAGGGGCATACACCTCTCTATAATCATCCCAATAGATTTATTTTACTAATAAGAACATGCATTAACCTGCACAGTGCATACACCTCTTTATAATCATCCCTGAGCTATTATCATTTCTCGGCACTTAGCTACAGGGGCATACACCTCTTTATAATCATCCCAATAGATGTATTTTACTAATAAGAAAGCATCACATTCACGCTTTAAAATAAAATGGATAATACGTCTCTTTTGAGCTGAAAGAAGGGATTTATCCTCGTCCTGTCCTTTATATGGACACTTTACTGGTCGGGATCAAGAAACCACGGGTTTGAGGTTGAAGGTGAAAGGAGGGCCGCTGGCCGCCACCGTCGTCTTAGTATTCAGCTGAGCCGTGTCAATTTCAGTTCAACCGCTCTTTCGTTCTTACTGTGGATATGAAACCAAATAGAAAGAAAATACAACAAAAGAGAAGAAGAAATGCTAGCTAAACTTACCAGGTTGAGGGGCGATAGATGGCCACGGGAGAAGCTCGATACTTGCCGCTGAGCGACTTGGGGGAAGACTCTCCTCAAACCCTAGATTGATTCTGAATTTCTGAGAAATGAAGTGGGGATAACATCCCTCGTCCTTTTCTAGCGGGAGAGGAGTTAACGACGCCAGCAACGCGGAGATAGGGTTAGTTTCCTCTGCGCAAATCTGAGCTCCCGTTAATCACTGTACACACGGAAACAAGCCAACTAATTGGCTCAGGCATTTAATATATATAGTATAAGATAAGATATACAGCATATATTTTATTTTATTTAAGTACGATTAATTACAAATGCATTAACAGTTAAATCACTTCAATAAAAAAATCGTTTAATTAATTTTACCAAAAGCCGTTCCACTAAATGTTGTGCGTTACTACGTTGTTATTCTAAATGGCATGCATCGGTACTCTTAAGAAAATTTCTAGAATAATTAAAATACAATGAATTAAATAATTGATTTATTGTTATGGTGGGATGTGGTGACACGATTCTTTTCTTAGCAGGTATGTTTAATTGATTAGGAAATAGTTCTCGAGTGATGCCTTCGTCTCTATTTGCTATGGTGGCCGGAAAGATGCTGAAGTCCCTATTTATAAAACCAATTACAACCCTATTTAATGTTCTTTTGATGCACGTTTCTTTTAAGTTTTAAAGGCAGCAAAAAAAAATCAAAACAATAACCGGCTCCTACAAAAAGACTGCTCATTTCTCGGGCAGTAAACACCCGGTATTAATATCACACGCACGTTTTCTTTTCCATAAAAGACTCCTCATTTTCCGACATTAATACCTTTCTATACGTTTAATGCTGCTCGTGCAAAGCACCTATTATACCTGCACAGTTTTTGAATTTTGAAAACACAATACCGCCCATTTTCCCTCCCAAACTCCCTCTCACACTTTTCTGTTTTAATATATATAATAATAATAATCAATATAAATAAGTGGCACTTTTTAAGAGCATACAAAGCGTCACATAATCATGCAATGTCATTATATATATTAATTATTTAGTTAATTTGTACCTTTTATTTTTATTAGCTAAATTCTATTTTTAATTGCACATTGATATGGAAACAAAAATCCGTAGAAAGTACTATATTAAACAGACTCTATTTTAGGCTAAGTTTATATATGACAGGCTCTATTTTAGGATAAGTTTATATATGACAGGCTCTATTTTAGGGTAAGTTTATAAGTGACAGGTATTCTTAGCCAAAAATACAATACGTTTTAATTTCTATAACAATTAAATATTATAGTATACGTTTAGGCTTAGAATTATACGTTTTAATTCCATTATAACAATTAAATGTTATCGTATACGTTTATATGTTTCGGCTTACAATTTAAAAAAATAGGCTCTATATTTAGACTATTTTACTTAATATATACTCCGTATTAAATTTCTATGAATATCCATCTTCATAAGATTATATTAAACGTTTAAAATCGGGTTCATAGCAATTATATTTACTCGAGATGCTTATGTAGAAGATCAATTTAACTATTTTTCATATAGTCTTTTTCTGGCTTCACAAATGGAATATATTTTACATATTTTTTCATGATTCCACTCATTTAGCTCATTTAGTCATAATTTAATCAATTTGAGTAAAATAAGTTAATTCAATTTATTTTAGTATTATCAAATAGGCTCTGTATTAGACTAAGTTTATTTTTCTTTCAAATCACATTACATATGATCCGAAAGAAATCAAATTTCAAATTAGCTAAATTACATCTGCCCGTGCATCGCACGGGCTTTAAAGCTAGTAATAATATATATAGATATAGATTCATACACCCCCTGTGTGTGCAACGGATGCCAATACCAACGCCTCCCAGCAAAATAGCAAATGAGCAAACGATACACAAAATGAGACACATACCAATAAAGGTGAGTTATGTGATGATATTGAATTGATAAAGTAAGAATGATTTACAATCACACAAATCTTACTAAATTTGGTATGAGCCAATTTTAATGGAACGGACCGAAAAGTAAAATTGGTACAATCTTAGCGGGACAGAGAAACTATTCTCTCCGTCCCATTTTATCTGTTATACTTGTTGGAAAAATGGTTTACAAATTAATATTTTAATATATTATTTGTAGGAAACGATTTTGAAATGAATGAGAAATTGTTCCCCGCACATAGTGAGCGTGAAATTGCACTTCACGCGCCGCCGCCGCCGCCACTGGCCGGCCGGGGTGGGTCGGATTCGGGTACGGGTTTGTACCCATGTGGCTTTAAGATTTAAACATTATTTTGGTACAATTAATTTTTGGACAAGGCAACACTTAGAAAGAAAGGTTGCCACCTTTTACTAAATAGGTGCCTTTTGGGATTAGTCTCCTGGCCAAAGTACTTTTGTCCCAACTGGCTCCTGCGTTTTGGAAGACAATAATAAGTCCGAAAATACAAAAAGTCTTTTTCATCTTCCTCGTCCAAACTCCACCATTCTAGTGCATCGTTTGGTTCGCCGGAGTCCTTCGGGAACAAAAAACCGTTCTATCCTGGGAGACAATTGCTAGCGGACAAATTTGTCTTAAGGAGACAACAAGCATTTGTTGGGCTCGGTTCAATCCTCTACAATTTCATACGCTTCTCGTTCTTCATAATTATTTATTTAATTATTTAATAATTTATTTTGCAGATTTTAGAGATACGCATACAACAATACTTTCGTTTTTGTGTTGGTCCAAAATAAGTTTTGCATTTCTCTTATTGGAAAGAAATATGTGTCATACAACATTTCACTTTATCAAACTCAAATTTCAACCACTACTTTTATTGTTTCAACCACTTTATTAATAATCATATCAAGTTAAAGTAGAACACATAAAATGAGACGAAAGTATTCTGGAGTAATATTTATGTGGCATCATCTCACATGTGCACCATGCATATGCTATGTTGCACCGATACTTCACCTCGATGCCGTATCCACGTATCCGATACGTATCCGTATCCGATACTCACCGATACGCGTCCTGTACGTATTGGGTCCGTATCCGTAATTTAATAAAAGTACCAGGGTTAATTTTAAAAATATCGATACTTCCGATCCCGTATCCGTGAACCGATACGCGTATCCGAACCTATAACCCCTCATTTGATACACGAAATGACGAAAATTCAGTAGCCGCCCAAGCGACCACAACATGTGGAACATTGATAGAGATGGTTTCGGGAGTATGGAAAATAATGAAATACTATAATTTGTCATTTCATTGCTTGATGAGCTTTAATTGAAACAAGACTTAGATGTAAATGGAAATAGAGAACAAAAAATGTTATTTGAATTTAAATCAAAATATCAATACTTTAGTTTTTTTAGACTAATCTTTGAAACTTTATTATAATAGTTAATTTTTTGTACTATTATTATTTTATTTATGAACCCTGAATTATATATATTTTCAAATTATACCCTATATTTTTATTATTTATAAATATACCCCCGTACCCGTATCCTATAATTTTTGAAAGTGCCGTATCGTCGTACCCGTATCCGCGTATCAGAGAATCGGCGTATCCGCATCGGTGCTAACATACTGCATATGAGATGCTCTAAAGCGTGTACGAGGTGCCGTTGACTTCATTTGAGACGAGTTGACTTGGTAGCGCGTGGGATGGAAGTTGAAAAAGCACGAGACGGGTACAAAAAGCTGAGAGGATCTTTAGCTCACTGACCACAGAAAAATAGAAAGATGGGCGGATCAATTTTATCGTCCATCGAAATGGAGATTTTTTTACTGGTGATGAGTGTGGCTGCTGCAATATCAATATCCAATTCCAGTGCCAGTAAATGCAGTGATGGGGAGAGAGAAGTGCTCCTCACCTTTAAGCAAAACGTCTTCGACGAGTTCCACCCGCTAAGCTCTTGGGGCAACGCCACTGAAGATTGTTGCTGCGGTTGGGAGGGAGTTGGGTGTGATAACCTTACTGGCCATGTCGTCAAGATAGATCTTTCTGGTATGTTGTATCTGCGCCCGAAAGTTGGGTATACTAGCATTCCATTCATTGATGAGCTGCTCTATTTGACGTATTTGAATCTTGATGATAACCCCGAGTTGCTGGAGGGACAGAATATCTCATCTTTGATTGGGAACCACAATCATAATAGTAACGCTAGTATTATACTTTCCCTTCAGCATCTCAGTCTAAAATACAGCAGAATTTATGGCACCATTCCTGAAGATTTTGGAAAGACCATGCCTGCTCTCATGCACCTTGATCTCAGTTATAATAGCTTGGAAGGCTCCATTCCTCAAAATTTTGGAAATAACATGTCTTCCCTCACACACCTTGATCTCAGTTATAATAATTTAAAAGGTTCTATTCCTGATAATTTTGGAAGGAGCATGTCTGCCCTCACCCACCTTGATCTCAGTTATAATAGTTTAAATGGTTCCATTCCTGATAATTTTGGATATAGCATGCCTTCCCTCACACACCTGAATCTTAGTCGTAATAGTTTAGAAGGCTCCATTCCTGAAGAAATTGGGAACAACATGCCTGCCCTCATGCACCTTGATCTCAGTTATAATAGTTTAGAACGTTCCATTTCGGAAAATTTTGGAAACAACATGCCTGCCCTCACACATCTTGATATCAGATATAATAACATAGAAGGCTTCATTCCTCAAAATTTTGGAAACAACATGCCAGCCCTCACATACCTTGATGTCAGTTTTAATAAGTTAGAAGGTTCCATTCCTGAAAAGTTTGGAAACGACATGCCTACCCTCTCATACCTTGATCTCAGTTATAATAAGTTAGAAGGTTCCATTCCTGAAAATTTTGGAAATAACATGTCTGCTCTCACGCACCTTGATATCAGAGATAATAACATCGAAGGCTCCATTCCTAAAAAATTTGGAAATAGCATGTCTTCCCTCACACATCTTAATTTCAGATATAATAGCTTGGAAGGCTCCATTCCTCAAAATTTTGGAAACAACATGCCAACCCTCACATACCTTGATCTCAGTAATAATAAGTTAGAAGGTTCCATTCCTAAAAAGTTTGGAAACGACATGCCTACCCTCACTTACCTTGATCTCAGTTATAATAAGTTAGAAGGTTCCATTCCTGAAAATTTTGGAAATAACATGCCTACCCTCACACACCTTGATCTCAGTTATAATAAGTTACAAGGTTCCATTCCTGAAAATTTTGGAAACGGCATACCTGCCCTCACATACATGGGAAATCCTGCGCTATGTGGAGATCCGCTTCCTAACAGCTGTCTAGAAGAAGAACCAACTCATCCTTCTCCACCTGGATTCAATGAAGAAGAAGAAGAAGAAGAACAAGAACAAGAAGACCCAGAAGGAGGAGGAGGAGGAGGAGGAGGAGGAGGGGCTTTCAATAGAGAAGACCCAGATAAGCTTATTGGCAGTGATGAGTTTTATGCAAGCATGGGGGTTGGATATGCGGTTGGATTTTTGGGAGTTGTTGTGACAATGCTATTCAACAGGTCCTGTAGGTTTGCATATTTCAAAGTCCTTCAGGATGCTGCTAATTGGGCTTATGTTGTAGCTGCAATCCATAAGGCAAATTTTGTGAGAATACTTGGGGGTTAACATGTCAGCCTGATTACCTTTATCCTACGTGCATTTTTCTTTCAAGTTTTTCTTTAATACTGGTTTAATATGCTGTCAGATTAATTTTTTGTGGTGTAGGGGGGGACTTTTGTCTCAATAATTAAGTAATTATTCTCTAGCCCATTTTGATTAAAATCTTTTTTATTCCACCTTTGTCAAGCATGCTCTAAGAATATAGAAACACAGTTTCTTTCTGAGTGAACCTATCTTATATTTTCTCTGGTTTTCTTTAGTTTGGATACACACACACACACATATATATATATTGTTGTGTTTGATGAAGAAGAGTTTGGAATTAGCGGAAGAAGAAGCTGCTTAGAGAAGTGTGATATTGGTTCATCCAGATTGGGGCATTAATATGTGATGGGGATCTGAGTCGTCTATAGCCAATAAAGGTTGTTTATATTTCCCATTTTTAGAACTATCTCCCATTAAAGACATCCTGTGTTCCAATTTGCTGCGTTCAGTGTATTTTTCCTTTCATTTGATGACATATCAATCATGCATAAGGATTCCTAAGTTTTTATTACTTTATCTAAGCTATACTTTTTTATTATGTTGCTAGCTGAAGATAATGAGCTGCACATTTCATGTGTTTATCAAACTTAAACTGTCAGAGGTTCAACATTATTAGATTGACATTAATGAATACATTTATTATATTCCATTTGGCATGATGTATGTATCCTGATAATGAAGAACATGGCCGTGTATTTTACTGATCAAAGTGCAGTTATTTCATTCTTTAAGATGGTGTTTTTCATATGATGGGAGATGATTTAGTGGTTGGTAGTTGTACAAATTAAAAGATTATTTGGGCACATTATAGAATGATCCTCCGTATTTAGATGGTGAAAACTTATCATTTTACTCAAATGGCTGTAAAAGGTGGACTTGATGACTTCTTTTATTATACGAATAACATGTTATTTCTTCCACATGCGCAAATGTATTGAAAAGAAGATGTTGTATGGAAAAGTATGGTCTCTCAATTAGGAAGTATAGTAAGAATTGTAAGGAGCTTTGACCTATAGTCAAACATGTTGAATGGTGTGATCCCAACTGAAACCAAATTGCTTGTTGAATTGGTTTCTTTGAACTTATCTGGAAACAATATAAGGGGACAGATTCCTTCAAGGATTGGTTACTTGGCAAGTGCATACATGGGGAATCCCGGGCTATGCGGAGAGCCACTCCCTAGCAGTTGTCTAGGAGAAGAACCAACTCATCCTTCTACACCTGGATTCAATGAAGATACAGATAACCTTATTGGTGGTGACTTTTATGCAAGCATGGGGTTTGATATGTGGTTGCATTTATGGGAGTTGTTGGGACAATGGTATTCAACAGGTCGTGTAGGTTTGCATATTTCAAAGTCCTCATTGATTTTGCTGATTGGGCTTATGTTGTGGCTGCAATTCATAAGGCAAAGTTTGTGAGAATACTTGAGGGTTAACTAGTCAGGGTAAATAATAAATATCCTTTATCTTACATGCAACTTTTTTACTTGTTTTTTTCTTTTTTCTTTCACAAATAATGTTGGCTTTATACTTGCAGTTGGTTTAGCTAGTGGTATTGATCTAATAATTTGTTTGCAAATATGATGTGGAGTCTCTTCAATGTATTCAATTGTGATTAAAAAAAAATCGTTTTATTTCTATTTATTTGCCAGGCAAAGCTTAAGTCTGGTGGTAAAAATTTTAAAATGGTGAAAAAGCTAAGCCATTAAGTCTTAGTCCTGATTCCTGAAACCCCATGCTCAAGTCAATGTAGAGTCTAATTAATGTCACTTTGGAAAGAGGGTTTTGGAGGGCCAAGTTTGTTGAGATTTTTGTAACACTCCATCTGGCATGGTATATGTATCATGATAATGAAGAACATGGCTGTGTATTTTACTGATCAAAGTAAAATGAGATTTTACTGTTCTTTCATTTTATTAAGTTGGTGTTTTTTATATTAAGAGAGATGATTTAGCAGTTGGCAGTTGTAGAAATTAAAAGATGGAAATATTTGGGCACATTATAGAATGATCCTCCATATTTAGATGGTGAAAACTTATCAATGTAACTCTGTTTATGAATCACTACACTCCATGTTTCTGGAGAGTTTCTTTACTGGATTACCCATTTAAGTTTCCTTTCTTGATGCTCTCCAGTTTATAATCCTATTTTCTATATTTGTGATGGATTAAATATAAACACAAATTCCTTCAAAAAAAAAATATAAACACAAATACACAACAGAATTAGTATTTCTCCTTGTCTATTATGATTACTTTACTTTCTACTACTAATCTATAAAGCTTAAACAGAAAAATGACCATGCTAATGGTTATGCTTGGGTCTGAACACTTCTATTACACACCAATATCCTGCCATTTCCATCCATCTTGCAAAATCACTTGCAATAAAAGATTCATTCCAAATATCTCCTGCAAGATATCAGTGGCTAGGTTTCCTAGGAGTCCTAAAGCTGCTCCAGGAAAGTCCTTTGAATATGGAATTTTGTTTAAATCCAAACTCCACGTTACTTGGATGATTTTTCGGAAATTCAAAGTCTAAGAGACTAAGATTTTGTATGGATGTGGATGTTCTTATGGAGTCATGTTAGAGGAGGGGTTTTGTTGAATCCAGGGGTGAGACTCTGCATAGTGCTTCGCAGGAAGCGTCACTAAAGATGAAAGTGAATATACAAAAGATTTAGGAAGTTCAAAGGAGCCTGTGGAAGGAATAAAACACTGTCCCCAATGAGGCAGTGAAGCTGGTCCAAGAAGGGCTGGTCTAGGTGAACTTGGCCTGGTCAAGAATTTCTCTTTAGGTATGTTGTAAGTAGTCCTGCAATTTGCATCCCTTTAACAAATTCACTTACAATAAAAGCTTCCTTGCAAACATCATAAGCTTTCCATTATCAATATTGCACCTGTATCCTTCCCCTTAAACAGATTGTATATATATAGGAATCCACACGCTAAGCTGATCGGGGTGTTGTTTTTACTTTTTAGGGAGGGTGTTCCTTTTACCTAATTGGATGTTTTCTTGTTTTTGATGGGGAATGATAGTAGTACCAAAGTACAAATTAAAAGGCCGAGCTTTTAAGCCACTTGGTGAATATGAAGCTCATTCATGTTTGAAGTAACTCACTCTATGTTACTTCAAACCTTTTTTCATTCTGCTTTTAGTCATTATGTTTCAGATTGGCAGCACAGCATTAATTTTCATTCTGGCTTATTGAATTGTTCAGCATCTTTTGTGCCCTTTGTTCTGCTCAGACATTTCCTATCTTCTGCTGATATTTTCATTTCCGTCATCTGTGTTTCAGGTGGAGATTGTGATGGGGCTTGAGGAGAGTTTGGAATCACAGTAGAAGAAGACAGTGCTCTGAGTATTGCTACAGTTCAAGATGCTGCGGTTTGATTGAGGATCTGATATCCACGAAAGCTTAAATGTTATCCCAATTTTCCATATTTTGACAAACTAGGTGATCAAGGAGACATCACCTAGATGGTCTGTTAAAACCTTGTTGTAATTATTTCATTTGATGATACCTCTCGTCATGTTTGGGATATTTATTACTTGAAATGTAATCAGGCAAAAATCCTGATAATTTTTCTTCATGTTGTTCTAGTTGAGTAATACTTCCTTTGTCCCCTATAATTGTCTCATTTTTTCATTTTTGGATGTTCCCATATTATTGTCTCATACCATAACATTTGTGTGACTCTAATTCATTATTACTTTATTATCACTTTATCAACTCATTATCAACCATATAATTCTACTTTTCTTAAAAACCGCATCACTCTCTTTCGTCCCAATAATAGGGGGACGGAGGGAGTATTAGTTAATTGTTAAATGTTTAATTCATACACCCCTTGTGTGTGCAACGGATGCCAATGAGACAACGATACACAAAATGAGACACATACCAATAAAAGTGAGTTTATGTGATTGATAGTGAATTGATTAAGTAAGAATGATTTAGAATCACACAAATCTTACTAAATTTGGTATGAACCAATTTTAATAAGATGGACCGAAAAGGAAAATTGGTACAATCTTACCGGGACAGAGAAAGTACTCCCTCCGTCCCATTTTATCTGTTATACTTTTCTTTTTGTGTTGTTCCAAAATAAGTGTTGCATTTCTCATATCTGAAAGAAATATGTGTTGTACAACATTTCACTATATTAAACTCAAATCTCAACCCCAATTTTTATTGTTTCAACTACTTTATAAATAATCATGTCAAGTTAAAGTAGAACACATAAAATGAGACAAAAGTACTACGGAGTACTCCCTTCGTCCCTAAATGTTGTTCCAATTGCGGATTACGAAGGTTGACCGACGATAAAGTTAAATGATCCATGTGAAAACTTGGATTATTTTTAGTAAATAAAATTTACATATTCAGAAACTACATTAAACTCGCTACAAAGCCTGCAAAAAATAATTCAACTTTTATAAAATTTTGATATAAAAAGTAAGAGTTTGAGAGTGATTTAAGTTGACCCTCAATCAACGAAATGTCACATTAGTGATTTAATGTGACATGATTAGGGGTGGACTCGGGCCGGGCCAACCGGCCCGCTACTGTGCGGGCCCGGACCGGCCCGGTCAACCGGTTGGTCAACCGGTTCGGGCCACCCGGCCCGGAGGTATACCGGTTCGGGCTCGGGCCCTGATTTTGGCGAACCGGCCCGGCCGGTTCGGGCCCGGTCCGGGCCGGATTTTAATTTTTTTTTTTTTTTTTTTTTTGAAATTTTTTTAAATTTTGGGTTGGATTAGGTATTTTGGGCCATTTGAGGTGGTTTGGGGTAGTTTGGGGTTGAGGGGGAGGGGTAGGGGGTTAAAAATGAGAACCAAAAAAAAAAAAAAATTACTTGGGCGGTTCGGCCCGGCCCGGTTTGGCCCGGAACCGGAACCGGAACCGCCCCCCGGCGGTTCGGGCCCGGGCCCTATATTTCTGGCCCAAGGCCCGGCCGGGCCCAGGCCCGAACCGGGCTTGAACCGGCCCGAGTCCACCCCTGGACATGATGTCACATGTGGACCATGCATCTCAGATGCTCTAAAGCGTGTATGAGGTGTCGTTGACTTCATTTGAGACGAGTTGACTTGGTAGCGCGTGGGATGGAAGTTGAAAATGCACGAGGATCTTTAGCTCACTGACCACAGAAAAGAGTTTTTTCCACTTTTAGTCCTCCGACTATTACGTCATTGACATTTTTGGTACTCGACTTTGATTTTTTCCACTTTTAGTCCTTGACTATTGCGCTAGAGACACTTCTGGTACCCGTCTTTGAAAATTTCCATATTTAGTCCTTCAACTTTCATAAAAGTGACACATTTGGTCCTTCAACTATTATAATAGTTACTTTTTTAGTCCTTCACTTATTGTGTCAAATTTATAATGGAAGGACTAAAAGTGTCAATTTGACAATACTCAGGGACTAAATGTGGGAAACCTTGAAGTCTGGGACTAAAAGTGTCTCTAGCACAATAGTCAAGGACTAAAAATGGAACAATTAGAAGTCGAGTACCAAAAGTGTTATTGACATAATAGTCAAGGGACCAAAAATGGCAAAAACTCCCACAGAAAATTAGAAAGATGGGCGGATCAATTTTATCGTCCATTGAAATGGAGAGTTTTTTACTGGTGATGAGTGTGGCTGCTGCAATATCAATATCCAATTCCAGTGCCAGTAAATGCAGTGATGGGGAGAGAGAAGTGCTCCTCACCTTTAAGCAAAACGTCTTCGACGAGTTCCACCCGCTAAGCTCTTGGGGCAACGCCACTGAAGATTGTTGCTGCGGTTGGGAGGGAGTTGGGTGTGATAACCTTACTGGCCATGTCGTCAAGATAGATCTTTCTGGTATGTTGTATCTGCGCCCGAAAGTTGGGTATACTAGCATTCCATTCATTGATGAGCTGCTCTATTTGACGTATTTGAATCTTGATTATAACCCCGACTTGCTGGTAGGCCAGAGTATCTCATCTTTGATTGGGAACCACAATCATAATAGTAACGCTAGTGTCATACTTTCCCTTCAGCATCTCAGTCTAAAATACAGCAGAATTTATGGCACCATTCCTGAAGATTTTGGAAAGATCATGTCTGCTCTCAGGCACCTTGATCTCAGTTATAATAGCTTGGAAGGCCCCATTCCTCAAAATTTTGGAAACAAAATGCCTTCCCTCACACACCTTGATCTCAGTTATAATAATTTAAAAGGTTCCATTCCTGATAATTTTGGAAGGAGCATGTCTGCTGTCACCCACCTTGATCTCAGTTATAATAGTTTAAGAGGTTCCATTCCTGATAATTTTGGAAAAAACATGCCTTTCCTCACGCACTTTAATCTTAGTCATAATCGTTTAGAAGGCTGCATTCCTCAAAAAATTGGGAACAACATGCCTGCCCTCATGCACCTTGATCTCGGTTATAATAGTTTAGATCGTTCCGTTTTGGAAAATTTTGGAAATAACATGCCTGCCCTCATGCACCTTGATATCAGATATAATAACATAGAAGGCTCCATTCCTAAAAGTTTTGGAAATAACATGCCTGCCCTCAGGTACCTTAATATCAGATATAATAGCTTGGAAGACTCCATTCCCCAAAAGTTTGGAAACAACATGCCAACCCTCACATACCTTGATCTCAGTTATAATAAGTTAGAAGGTTCCATTCCTGAAAATTTTGTAAACAACATGCCTAACCTCACATACCTTGATCTCAGTTATAATAAGTTAGAAGGTTCCATTCCTGAAAATTTTGGAAACGGCATACCTGCCCTCAAATACATGGGGAATCCTGGGCTATGTGGGGAACCGCTTCCTAACAACTGTTCAGGAGAAGACCAAGAAGAAGAAGAAGAAGATGCTAATTGCAGTGATGAGTTTTATGCAAGCATGGAGGTCGGATATGCGGTTGGACTTTTGGGAGTTTTTTGGACAATGCTATTCAACAGGTCCTGTAGGTTTGCATATTTCAAAGTCCTTCAGGATGCTGCTAATTGGGCTTATGTCATGGCTGCAATCCATAAGGCAAAGTTTGTGAGAATTCTTGGGGGTTAACACTTAACATGTCAACCTAATTACCTTTATCCTATACACACTTTTCTTTCAAGTTTTTCTTTAGTCCTGGTGTAATTTGCTGCCGGTTTAATTTTGTTGTGGAGTAGGGGGGACTTTTGTCTCTTTATATTTTTTTTACTATCTCTCAGGAACTTGAAATATTTAATTATTAGAAGACATCATCTGCATGAGTCTTTTTGGCTGCTTGATTGGAGTATATTTGTGACCTATTAAATAAAAAATAATAGAATTAATAGAATTAATATCTACTCCTTAACAATAATGATTACATTTCTTGATACTAATTTATACGGTACGTATAGACAGTAAAGCAATCATTTTGATGATTCTGCTAGGGTCTGGACGTGTCTACTACTACAATGTCCTGCAATTTGCATCACTTTGACAAAATCACTTACAATAGGAGCTTCCTTACAAACCTTTTTTCATTCTGTGTTTAGTCATTGTGTTTTCATTCTGATTGATCCATTTTTACTACATCATAAAATACATCACTAAAAAGCATTATTTTGTCAAAAACCTCTAATAAGGTTACAACATTTCTTATTGAATTGTTCAGCATCTTTTGTGACCTTTGTTCTGCTCTTACATTTACTATTTGCTGATGATATCTTCATTTCCGTCATCTGTGTTTCAGGTGGAGATTGTGATGGGGCTTGAGGAGAGTTTGGAATCACAGTAGGTGAAGACAGTGCTCTGAGTATTGCTACAGTTCAAGATGTTGCAGGTTTGATTGAGGATCTGATAGCCAAGAAAGCTTAAATGTTATCCCAATTTTCCATATTTTGGCAAACTAGGTGATCAAGGAGGCATCACCTAGATGGTCCGTTAAAATCTTGTTGTATTTCGCTTGTTTCATTTGATGATATCTCTTGTCATGTTTGGGATATTTATCACTTGATTTGTAACACTAATCAGGCATAAATCTTGATAATATTTTCTTCTTTTTGTTCTAGTTGAGTAATTTTAGTTAATTACAAATCGGATGACAATGCCAACGCCTCCCAGCAAAGGATACAACAGATGAAAAGGAGAAAGAGGCACTCTAATACAAATATACAATGACCCTGAACCAGTCAAGCAGTAGCAGCATTACATTTCCTGAGGCGTGAAGGTATTAATTAAGAGTATTTGTCGGATTAGAAATGAGATTTACAACCACCAAGGATGTAATTTCAAGAAAACTCCCGGATCATAATATACTTGTACTTGTAAGAGAAGAAGGTTATTACGTTATTCTGGTAAAACATCTCCCAATAATTCGTGTTTTACATGATTTATTAAATTATGATGCATAAGGACTTAATGAGTAATTTATTGTAAGAGTAAATTATGATACATGTAAGAGAAGATCGCTCTTTTTCATAGAAGTTGATCATAGATATAATTTAATAAGTTTGTATAAAAGAAAAAAAAAAAAGAAAAAAAAAGTGTATTTGGTCAAAGATCACGATGTTTAATACTCCGTATTAATCCTAATACTCAACAAAATAGGTCTGATACTCACTAAAAGTGCATTAATACTCATTTTCATGAAGCCACGATTTTCAGTTAAATTATGAAAATGTCACCGATTGTACGGTGTTCACCATACAACTGGAGGTACTAGGAAGTTGGTAAAAATACCGAAATTGTGATATGTCGCACTTAATATAACGAAAAATATGGAACTTACCTAAATGTGTGGTATACCAACAATTTCAATATGGTATGGTAACGTACCAAATTACTTTGGTGTGCTATCAATATATATTTTGAAAATAAACTGTATATTGAAATACCGAAAGTCCAAACCAATAAGTTCTTTAAAATTATAAAAATGTCTAGAAGTACATTATTAATTCAAAGATAAATGACTTTATATTCACGTTTCTTGAATTATTTATACTTTTTGTTTGGGATCGATGTTATTTATTTTTATCTATGTTGCTTAAATTATTTTAAGAGAATGTGTTGTTATGTTCATATATCATGTGTTGAAATATGTAAACATATTTATAATATTTTTTGTTCAAAATTGATAGAACATCAATAGGTTATCATTAGTATTTTATAATTAATTTCATTAATAATTTTGGTATATCACTACTAACACTGAAAATATTGGTATATCAAAACTTTCGTAAACTGCGTATATTTTAACATACCTTACAAAAACACCCAAGGTGGTACCTAGTGGTGAACAAAAAAAACTGAAAAATCGAAACTGATCGACAAACCGACCGACCAAAATCGAAACCGGTCGAAAGTGACTAATCCGTCGGATATTCGATTTATGATTTATACTTTTTTGGTTTAAAAACCGGCCAAAAAAAAAATCGGCCAACAAAACCGGGAAAACCAGCAAAAATCGATCAAAAACGATATGAATTGACTGAGACTGACTCAAATTTTACATTCTGATTCTTGGTTTGATCTATTTTTAAAGTTGATAAAACCGATTTGGAAGGATTCATTGAATCTTTTCCGTTCTATATTTCATCCCATTGTAGCCTTAAGCTATTCGTTCTGATGTATCTTTGCTATCTTTTATTAATGAATTGGTTATTTAATTTTTCAACAAATAAAACCGACAGACCAAAAACCAAAACCGACCTACTAAAAACTACTCGTAATACCAACCAAAACCGAACAGTTAAAACGAAACCCAAGAAACCAACCCGAGGAACACCCCTACGGGTACACTGTACAAGCGTACACTGTACGTATACAAGTAACTAGAGGGAAGTTCTATTCACAGCCACATTTTTACTAAATACAACCACATATTTTTTATTCTTCCAAATATGACCTTTGTGTCAACCGGCGGCCCTTAGGCTGTCCGCAATGGGTGGGGGTGAAAACCCAAATTTGATGTATTCACCCCAAATATGCTGCAACCCAAGCCTTTTTTAGTAATTACCCATATGGTCTACTTTTATGGGCTACATATCATTTATGTCTCAGCGATTTTCTCTTTTCATTTATAAACTTTTCTCTTTTCAATTGTAGTTTTTTATTTCAGTTTTAGATAGTTTGTGCCAAACTCTTCCGTCTCCCTTCTCTATCTTAGTACATACGACAGAAATCCCGACCTTCCATGAGCTTCGTATCTAGGTCTATGAGAGTTCTCATCCACCGTTATCTTCCATAGTGTTCTCGATGGGTCGGACGACGTAGCCTACGGAGAAAGGGGGTCACACCTCAGCTTCGACGGGTTGCAATTGGAGTTCACGGGTCGCGATACACTTTTGAGGAACGATCAATCCCTCATCGCAACGATCATTCAGAAGTAAATTAGAGGAGAAATAGGCGAATTTCAGCTGGTATGAGCTTAATCGGGACTTCCGTTTGTTGTTTCCATTATGTTTTCTTTCTATTTCTATCCCTTAACCAAGTAAACTTGTCGAAATTGCAGACGAGGTTGAATCTGAATGGATGAATGGCTAAATTCCAATTTGTTCTAATGGAGATGTCTTATCTCATGTCGTGCTTCAGGTTCCTTGTTGTACTCTCTGTGTAGGATTTTAACTTTTGTTTGGCTGGAGTATTTTAGAGGGGAATGAATTAAAGTGGAGATGTGTGTTTGTTTAGGGAATTAATGGGAAAGTTAGGTAGAAAGTAAGTCGGTGAGCTATAAAAGCATCCAAATCTCAGATTTCATTCCCTCAATTTGGAGAATCTAAGGGAGTTGTTTTTATTCATGATTTCTTTCACTTTTTTCTCCAAAATTGTTCTGCATTATTAATAATGTATTTATCGGCATGTATGTGCGTTGGAATTCATGGGAGCTAGAGGCAGTTTTTTGGTAATCTTAGGAGTGCGGCATTGTCTTCTTTGACACGCACCAGAAGGAGTGCGGCAGTGGCAAGTGTGTGAGGTTAACCATTTTGTGGAATATTTAAACAACCTCGAACACAAGCTTGTCAACAAAAAGTAGGCGAAGCAGAGAGGGAGCATAAAAAATGTCCGAGAGAAACAAATTATAGGTCAAGAGGGAATGCAAGTGCAGCAAGTCAGTCTCCCGCTCTTCACCATCTGTTATTTGTATCACATATAGCTTTATTAGACCACTATCATTGTATTCTCTCATGCTATGCCATTTTCATTTGCTTACTGTACGTTACTTTTTAGGAATCATACGGCGAATTCATGGCAGAAGTGCAGGCTTACTCATCTCACTGAGAGTTCTTTACGGCTTTTTCTGGGCTTTAAGTCTTCATACATATTATATATGCTTAATATAATTTTGCAAATTTAATACCAATACAATGGAAAGTAGATTAGTGCATGAGCACTGTTGTCGTTTTGCTGGTGAAATTTCAGTCTGCAAAACATCAATCTCGAGTTTTTGCAGTCAGTGTAGAAAGCCATAGACTCGCTAAGGAGTCGCTATGACATCAACCGACTTTTGCTTGCTAAGATTGCTGGAATTTGGAAAATGAGGCTTGTGTATGTATTGCTTAGTGGCAGTGCTACTCCAGAAACTCCATATCCCAGTAAGAGACTGTTGAGTAAGCGTGTTAATTTCTAATTATTTTATGTATTTAATAATTCTTTATTTCTTTATTTATTTGAATATGAAACTTGCTAATATTCCTGGCAATGGAGAAATCGAGCTTTGGTCAGGTAATTCCTCTTCCGATGTTGCTTTATGCTTCTAACTTTCCAAGCCCTGTATTATGACTTTGCAAGTATTTAAAATACTCACGAGTTATTCCAGTAGAAGAAAGTTTTGTAGACTTTGATTATGAACCGCTCTGATCATGAAAATGATAAAGTTTGAGAGGCCAAATTTGAGAATTAAGATTCCCGCTTAACATTACCCATGTGTCCCTGGTAAAGAAGTGTGTTGTGAATGCACATAGTATTGTGATGAAATGTCGACAAGAGCTCACTGGAGAAAACAACTATTCTATTGGGTTATTTAGATCCTTGTAATACTTGATTCTAAAATTTTGTGATGGTGGATTGTGTTCTCATTGCAGGCTCATAAAACAAAACGAAATACATGATGAAGAGGATGATAATAAGACTAAGAGGATCATCCAAGAAAATGAAAACAAAGAGTTCAAAGAGGAGAAGATGTTATACGACCAAAGCTAAATAGTATGATAGATAAATGTAATAAATTAAAATAATAGATCAAATAATGTATTTTGTTGTGATACTGATATATATTATTTTTGTTTCTTTTTGTTGCATCGTACTTGTTTCTTTTTGTTGCATCTTGTTGCTAATTGTTGCATCGTGTTGCATATTGTTTATTGTTGAGTTTGTTTTTTGTTGTTTATTTAGGTTTCTGTTTATCTTTGATGCATCTTTGAAAAAAAAATCATGTATGCATACATATGAAAACACCTACATTGATAATTTTTTATTTACAAATACAAAACAATAGCATGAAAAATGAAAAAATTATATAAAACAAAATTTTACAATTTATCAACAAAAAGAAACACATAGAAACAATATGCAACCAAAGCAACAATAAATGTTTATGGTAATAGTAACTCAATTTTATTTGAAAGAATGGTAACTCAAATTTGTAAATTATAACTATTTTTAAAAAAATATTTAAATTTCATATATAAAAATAGTAACTCAATTTTTTATCTACTTTAATTTTTGATTTTTTTTTGTAATATATACATTTTTTTCTGTTTTCTTTAATTTTATAAAATTTGAATTTGAAATTTTAGAATATTTTCACATTGATATATTTATTTGCAAATTTTCAGTTTATTTGAAATCCGAAAATCCAACTCTTTATTTTTTACAATTTTTTTTGCGTCTACATATTTTTTACATTTCATGAATATTAATGTTTCACATTGGTAATTTCAAGAATATATTTTTTATGAATTATTTTGCACTTTTTTTTGTGGATTTTTCTAATAATTTATTTACGTGTTTATATTCTTTGTCTATTATAATTTCTATTTTTTTAAAAAAAAATTTACAGACTTATTATAAATTTTTAGACTATTTTTAAAATTTTACTATTAATTTTCTTTGACATGAATTATATTCCTTTTACAACCTTTTCCAATTTTTATTTTGTAAAATTGATATCAGTTTTTGTTTTTGTTTTTTATGATTCAGTTTTAAACTCTATACTTTTCTATATTTTGTAAATTTAATTACATATTTCCAAGTATGAGATTTTCTATACTTTTAATTTATTACTTTAAATTTTTACTTGTTATCTTTTAGACTTTTATTACTTCTCTAATTATTTTCATCATTCTACTTTTTAATAATTTTAGCATTTCTGTTTTGTTTTGTAGTTTGCAATAAAATAAAATAAAAGTATATAGGTCTTCTTTATATTTCTTCACTCCGTATCAATTAGTTTAGCTAACGTGACTTGATGTCCGTTACTGTTAGTTGCTAATTTGAGCTAAGCTACAATGACCGGAGGTTTCCGTAAGAGCGAGTGCTTGCTCCAGTGCTCCAGTCTATTTGTGAAAATTAAAGGTTGAGAAGACTATTTTTGAAAAGATTTTTTTAGGGTGATAAAAGTGATATTATTTATACTATTTAGAGCCCGTTTGGTAGCACAAAAATCGGCTGTTTTGGCTGATTCTGCTGAAATTTATGATATTCTGGCTGGAGTGGCTGTTTTGGCTGATTCTGCTGATTTAAGAAAAAAATATTTTAAAAATATATTTTATTAATAAATTAAAGAAAAAATTATATGTAAAAATAGCTAAAATGGTCTTCTACAGTAACTTCAGCCAATACAGCCAGAAAAGTAACTCCAACCTTACTTTTTCGGCTTATTACACAATTCAGCGCGCGAAAGTAAAAGTTACGTGTTTGGTGAAAAAGATGGCTGATAAGCCTGATAAGCCGAAAACAGAGTTCTCCAAACGGGCTCTTAGTCTATTTGTGATAAATTCCCATAGTGAATTGGGAGAACCGAGTGAGTGGGAAGCTAGTACCTTCATTCACCCTAGGAGAGAAGCGAATTAACTATCACGTGGGCAAGGCGCAAGAAGAATTGAGGTAGGGGCCCATTTGAAATAAAATTCCCAATTTTGTTTTAACTATTATAACTTTGTTATTTTTTTCCTAACTTTTATAAATAATATATCAAAATTCATGATTTTTTATGCTCTTTAATATGACATCAATATCATATACATATAAATTTAAAAAATAGATAAATAATTTTTTCAGCTAACGATTTTTATGTTCAAATTTTTTCTTATGTAAATTCAAGTGCTAAAGTTATGATTTCATTGTTAAAATATTTTTTCCTACATATCTCAGTTGCTTTTGAAAAAAAGATCTAGAGTAACAAAAAATATAAACTTCAAATTTATTTATTGTTACATCGGGATTTTGACTTTTTAAATAATAATTATTGGTAAAAATAAAATTATCACGTAAATGACGTGTAATAAAAAAAAGTAAGGATTAATGCATATAATTAAAATAAAAAATATGTGTTGAGTGAATATATTGACGGTGCTGGGTTGCAGAGAAAAACTGGATTGACTGGATGAGTACGTATAAACGAGTGGGGAATTAGATTTATTGACGGACTGGGTTGCCATTAGCCTTAGATCAAGTGAGCCGATGATCAATCGGTTACCAATTCTCAACTGGCTGCCCTCAACTTCATTCTAGGTGCATGCAGACTTCATCACCCCCTCTCTGAGCCATCAATTCTCTCTTCTGCCTTCTCCCTCCATCTTCGCATTGATGCATAGGGCTTCTCCGTCTGTCAATTTTATCAACAACGTACATATCCACAGTAACTCAATAAGTAATTAAGGTAATTGTTCATCTTTCCCTTGTTCAAGATTTTATTGGCAGTCTTTTTTAATTGAACTTAGTTATTAATAAGCTGGCAAGATTTTTTTGCAGCGCCGTGGAGTCATTTGGAGTCGCCGTCGGGGAATCCCTTTCCCCGACACACCGTCTTGTAGCAGTTGTCAGCTTGTCACCAAGACATGCCCCCTTGGAGTTGGTGCTTCCGGTCTCACACATTCGGCCTTCGGCCGCAATTTCCCATTCGCTTCTCATCCGGCAGCCATGAACAACATCACAAAGAAGAAGATAGCAGCGCCAGAACAACGAAAGGAAGCCATTTTTTGTGGTTGAGAAGAAGATAGGAAGCTAATTTATGAAGCTTCCTTGGCAGAGTGCCCGAGTGTATTTCGGTGGCCAAGACATACGAAGTGTATATATTCATTGGCAGAATCAATGAAATCTTTGCAACCAGAATTTAGCCGGATATTTCATCGAGCGAGAAGGGTTAAGACGTTGCGCCAGATGTAATTTGCATACGGTTGTATTAAGTTGCATATTATTAAGGACATAATGGGAAGAATTGAAAATATGTGGCTGTATTTAGTAAAAGGGTGGATTTAGTAAAAGGGTGGATGATAGAAGGCGTTCCAAGTTCCATGGCCAGGACAGATTACAAACTGACAGGTGAGTTGACCAAGATGAGATCATGAGAGACCAAGAAGTGGTCAGACTTGTGCTGCTCCTTCCTTGGTCTTCCTAAACGACTTGACTTGGGAGTGGGATCCTGATTCTGGAAGTGGAGAATATATATACAAACAGACAAGAAGCTATACGAGAGCAACATTAACTGACGAGTTGCAAATTACAGAAAACTGGAAGAAGCTAATTGAGCATGGGTAGATTTCTGTTATCTTCGACCATTGAACCTGCAATCGCAGTGGCGATGTGTGTGGCTGCAATATCAATGTACACCACCGCCAGTAGATGCGTTGATGGACAGAGAGAAGTACTCCTCAAGTTTAAACACAACATTCTTGACGAGTACGACGAGCTACGCTCTTGGGGCAACCACACTGATTGCTGCTTCCATTGGGCTGGAGTTGGGTGTGATAACGCTACTGGTCATGTCATCCACATTGGTTTTTCTGGTAAGTTTTATCTGTCCTCAAAAGTTATATATACCAGCCTTCCATTCATTGATGAGTTGCGCTATTTGAAGCATTTGGATCTTGGCTTTATAGCCGGTTTGCTGGCAAACCAGAGCATCTCATCTTTGATTGGGAACCTCAAGAATAACAATGGTAATATGATTTCTCTTCAACATCTCAGCCTTCCTGCTACCGGAATTGTTGGCACCATTCCGGAAGATTTAGGAAACAACATGCCCGCCCTTACATTCCTTGATCTAAGCTATAATGAGTTGGAAGGTTTCTTTCCTCGTAATAGTTTTGGAAACAATAGCTTCGTTTCCCTTTCTTTCCTTGATCTCAAGGGGAATTGGCTAGAAGGTCCCATTCCTGAAAACTTTGGAAACAACATGTCAGCCCTCACACACTTGGATCTCAGCGAAAATAGGTTACAAGGCCACATTCCTGAAAATTTTGGAAACAATAGCTTCGTTTCCCTTTCTTTCCTTGATCTCAAATGGAATTGGCTAGAAGGTCCCATTCCTGAAAACTTTGGAAACAACATGCCATCCCTCACACACTTGGATCTCAGCGAAAATGGGTTACAAGGCCACATTCCTGAAAATTTTGGAAACAGCATGCCTGCTCTCGCATATCTTGCCATAAATGGAAATTTATTGGGAGGTCAAATCCCAACAAGTTTCGGGGAAAACATGACTGGCCTTACACAACTTCACCTGGGGTCTAATAGTTTAGAAGGTTTCATCCCTAAAACATTTGGAAAGATGGTTAAGTTGACTTACCTTGACCTGGAAAGCAATCTGTTGGAAGGTTGTATTCCTGGAACTCTAGGGAATATGACTGTCCTTGAAGAGCTTCATCTTGACGGGAATAGACTTGAAGGAGAAATCCCTAAAACATTTGGAAAGATGGTTAAGTTGACTTACCTTGGCCTGGAAAGCAATCTGTTGGAAGGTCACATTCCTGAAGCTCTAGGGAATATGTCTGCCCTTGAAGAACTTGATCTTGCCATGAATAGATTCGAAGGAGAAATCCCAAAATCCATTTGGAACATATGCACTCTGCAACTAGTGAGCATGGAATCCAACTGTCTTAGTGGAAGCCTAATCATATCAACATTATGCCCAAATCACTCTCTACACTCTTTACATTTAGATAGCAATAGAATCACAGGGTTATTTCCTGATCTTACCAAGTTCCCCTCTTTGGCTGAATTATCTATTGCGTTTAACCTCCTAGATGGGGTCATTTATGAACATCACTTTCTTAACCTCTCCAAACTATATCTCCTAGATTTATCTTACAACTCTTTATTTTTCAATGTCACCTCTTCTTGGCTTCCTCCTTTCCAATTGCAAACGATACACCTTAGGTCTTGTAAGTTGGGCCCTCAGTTTCCACATTGGCTTAGAACTCAAGTGAACTATAAATGGCTTGACATTTCCAATAACGCCATTTCAGATTCAATTCCCTCCTGGTTCTGGAGTACAACTAGTCACTTTTCGAGCATTAATGCTTCTCACAATGAAATCAAGGGAAAAGTTGTAAATGATGCCCAGTTATCATGCGGATTTCAGATTTCCGGTGGTATACTCGATATGAGTTTCAATAAATTAGAAGGTGTCATTCCACCTTATTTCTTCAATGTGGAAGAACTATACCTTTCTCAGAATAAGTTCACTAACCTCAACCCCCTGTGTGACATTAAGGGTACTGCAGCTGCTGGTTTGTTGCTTTTGGATATTTCATTCAATCAACTTTCAGGGACACTTCCGGATTGTTGGTCAAGTTACAATAGCCTACGATTTCTCAACTTGGCAAACAATCACAATCTATCAGGAAGTCTTCCAAATTCCATTGGATCATTGGCTTACCTAATGGCATTGCATCTTGACCGTAACAATTTTACAGGCCATCTACCTTCATCCATTAAAAATTGCTCCAGCTTGGTAGTTTTACATCTCGGAGACAATAACCTATTTGGACCAATACCAGATTGGGTGGGTGAAAATCTAAAACAGCTTGCCATACTTGTGCTAAGATCCAACCACTTCAATGCAAGCGTACCCACAAGTCTGTGCCGTCTCCAATCTCTTCAATTGTTGGACCTGTCCATGAACCGCATCTCAGGGACTCTTCCCAAATGCCTTTCTAATCTTAGTGAAATGACTGTCCATGAACCATATCCCAGTGCCACCATTTCTTATGAAATACCAGCCAATTTGACTCCTTCACATATTGAAATGTCAACAAATTCCAGCGTAGATGACAAAATAGATTTTTTATGGAAAGGTAGGGTCTTTATATTTGGAAGTACGTTAAGACTTGTGAAGAGTATTGATCTATCATCTAATATGTTGAATGGTGAAGTTCCAACTGAAATTACATCGCTTGATGGGTTGGTTTCTTTGAACTTATCACGAAACAATCTAAGGGGACAGATTCCTCCAAAGATTGGTAACCTGAGAAAGTTAGACACCCTTGATTTGTCCATTAACCATTTTTCTGGTAGCATTCCTCAAAGCCTTGTTCTGATTGATGACATAAGTGTTTTCAATGTGTCCAACAATAAATTATTGGGCAAAATTCCGAAAAGCACTCAACTTCAGAGCTTTGATGCAAGTGCATACATGGGGAATCCCGGGCTATGTGGAGATCCACTCCCAAACAGCTGTGCTGGAGATGAACCAACTCATCCATCTCTACCTGAAATCAATGAAGAAGGCGCTTCTAATAGAGAAGACATGGATAAGCTCATTGGCGGTGAGTTTTATGCGAGCATGGGGGTCGGATATGCAGTTGGATTTTTGGGAGTTGTTGGCACAATGCTGTTCAACAGGTCCTGTAGGTTTGCATATTTCAAAGTCCTTCAGGATGTTGCTAATTGGGCTTTTGTGGTGGCTGCAATCCATAAGAGAAAGTTTATGCTAATACTTGGGGGTTAATAGGTCATAATGGTGTCACTTTCAGGTTATTTCAACTATTTGTTCAGTTTTCCTTTTGTCTTTTTTAGTTCTTCATTTGAATGTCTTTGATACTGCTTTGCTGTGGTCATTAATGTGAAGTGTGTGGTTCTTTTGTCTCTTTCACTCTAGCTCATTGTGATTAAAAACATTTAATTCACCTTTGTCAAAGAATATAGCTCATTGTCTGCGCTTCTTTGTTATGAAGCAGCGGTCGGTCCATGCAATTTTGGTCGCAATTTTCACTATGGGTCATCGGAAAACAGTCTCTCTGTGCTTTAGTATAGGGGTAAGACTGCGTACATCCGACTCCCCCTTACCCCACCGTAGGTGGGAGCCTTTGCGGCACTGGGGTAAATGATGATTAATTGATTGATGATTGTCAAAGAATATAGGAACAAAGTTTCATTTGAGTGAACTATCTTATTTTTTCCCCTGGTTTTCTTAAATTTGGATAGTTATGGGTGATAGGAAGAGTTTGGAACGAGTGGAAGAAGAAATTGCTCATAGGAGTAACAGTTCATGGTCGAAGCATCATGGGGTGATTGCTGAGGATCTCATTTGTCTACAGCCAATAAAGCTTATATGTATTTCTCATTTTCAACTCTGATTAAAGACATACTATGTTCCAACATTGCTTCGATCATTAAACTTTTATGTTTTAAACAGTCAGAAGTTCACTATTATTAAAATGACATTGATAAATAAAAAAATATAACAAATGCAGAAGTAAGAAGAGTTATAACTGTAGTATGAATACCAGGGCCGTTTTTTAGGAGGTGCAATAGGTGATTGGCACCGAGGCCCACTCTTGTAGGGGGCCTCCAAAAATGTAGAATGTAGTATTAGTATAAGTTTATTTTTATAGATGCTATGTATTATTCAAAATTCCAAAAGGTATATAACTTTTAGATTCTCTAATTTGTGTACTTTAAACATCATAAAATGTATATTTCATTGAATTGTCTATTTTTATTTGTACTTCATTGTTCAAATTTGTATTTTTCTTGTTTTAGGGGCCTCAATTTCCCATTTGGAACCGGGGCCTCCAAATTCATTAGACGGCCCTGATGAATACAAATGCTATGCATACACAATACACAGTCCTGGCCTCCTGGGTATATTTAACAGATGCAGCTTAGTGGGGTTTTGTTTTCTGGTAGATCTAACATTCGTGAAATTTGTTTTTTTTTCCTCTAAACTCACAAAAAGGAGTAACTAACGGATTTGAAATAAATAAATAAATAATTAAATAAAAAAACTCTAAATAGGCATTACAAATAAAGCTTTTGTAAGTCCTTTTATTTTCACTCATTTCGGATTTCCACGAAAAAGATGTGTTCTTTATTATACTTGTTCTTGAGTGTATTTAATAGATTTATACATAAATCTTGCATTGAATTGACTTCAACATCTAGTGTGTTTTAATAACTTTTTGTTTTGTTTTGTTTTGTTTTGTTTTGTTTTGTCATTAATGGAGTTCGCATGTCCAAAGTTGTCAAAACAGAATTCACTTTTATCCAATTATAAGGCAATGGAATTAGTACATTCTCCTTAGATATACATCTACTTTGTACTCATTACAAGGATCAGGCAGTTCAGAGCATTCCAAACCCTCAACAAAAAATGTTGTTTAAGTCTTAAAAGTTTTCCACTTGTTGTTGCATCGCCATGATCAAACACAACACAAATATGGTGAGCACTAGAGTGAAACTGTGTAGCAGATTCATATTGACCACCGCTAACTTGAAATAAGTTTATGTCCTTTGCACTAGCTTTGGCCTGCCAAAGTCTAAGACTATTTATGTTCTTTGTTTTATAGCCAGGAATTGGAACATCATATGCAACCGCCTGTATGACCTCCCTGCCAATCCCTTTACGGAAGCCATTGGGGTCAACATGATCATCAGAAAATAATCTGACTGGAAGCACAATGTCATACCTTGTAATTTCCCAGGGACTGAATTTCTCAAGCCAACCTTCTGTAACTTCCTCTTGTCCAGCTTCTGTAATATGTTGCTTCCGTAATATGTTGCTTCTGTGGTCCATACTTGTACCTTAGTCCATAACCCTATGCTGGCGAATCTAGGGTTGCCTTGGATTCAAGAAAGCATGAAGCAAGCCTTCCCGACCCACAACTTCCTAGTGCTGCATCTTTCTCTTGCTCAGCAATCTCCTCAAGTACGCACGCAGATACTTACACAGAATCCGGTGACGCGGCTACCGATGAGTGCCCTTCTACCGTCGGCGGCATAAAAGTCTTCATGAGGGCAGTGAGCGCAGCCAAGGAAGTTGTGATCGCTGCCAGTTGAACTCCTTGCGCGTCCAGCATTGCTCCCCGCGCGTCCATTTTCTGGTTCAGCTTGGCCTCCATCTTTAACAAATGTTCAGTGATTGATCTCGTCTTTCTGGCGGGACGGGATCCGGCAGGTCGGACCAATTGGTGTGAACTGAAAAAATAAAAATTAATGGGGTAAACTGTTGCCCAGATAATCAACGGTAAAAATACCGTTGCCCAGAGCCAAAAGGCTAAAACAAATTTTATTCCAAGATGAACCAGAATGAATCCTAACAAGTGGTTTAAATACCCATCTACTAATTGTTAAAATAGGAAACAAAATTCTAGAAATCCTAATCAACTCCAACTAGGAAACTGAATAACATACATCCTAATCAACTTCAAATAGGAAAAAAATAATAGAAGTTTTAGTTAACTCCTAATAGGAAACAAATAATAGAAATCCTAATTAACTCCGAATAGGAAACAAATCAGGAAAATTAAAAATAATAAATATTAATTAAACTACCCGCGACTAGCCCACGAAGGTGGGCTCAAGCCCGTTCCCGCCTACAGTAAACCGACAGCCCCTTGGGTCTCATACCCTCCACTTCCACACAGTCCCCTACTCTCCCTGTTCTCTATCAAATTGATATGAAGCAGAATCAGGGCTTGGAAGAAGAGGGGCAGAAGCCCCCATGGGTTTACTGAAGGCGGGCGGGACGGGCTTGAGCCCAGCTCCGCGGGCTGGTTGCGGGCTGTTTAATTAATATTTATTATTCCTTTTATTTTGTTTTCTAATTTATTTATTTTTCCAGTATGATTTAATTAGGACTTCTATTCTTATTAGAATTAGAGGTTTCCTATTTCTATTTAGTTTTCTAGAATGGTTTAATTAGGACTTCTATCAGAACTAGGGTCTCCTATTTTATTTAGTTTCCTATTATGATTTAATTAGGATTCCTATTCTTATTAGAACTAGTATACTACATGTGCGATGCACGGGAAATTAACTCTATCATGTCATTATGTGATAATGAGCATATTGAAATGTGATTTATGATAAAATGGGGAAAATAAATATGTACGTGAAAATTCATATGAAATATAAAATGGATAAATGTTTAAAAAATTGAAAGATATCTTGATATACATTTTTGTTATACTACGTATTAATCTCTCTATCATCTTTATCACATGTAAGAACTTTAAACCAACACCTAATTGACCAATCAATATTATGCACATATTGTTTTTGATTAATGATTATATGTGGGTACTTAGGAAAGAAAAAAAATATTACAAATAGGCCCGAGGCCCGGCCCGAACCGGACCCGGTGGCAACCCGGGCCGGTCCCGGGCCTTCCCCTTAACACAAAAGGCCCGACCAGGCCTAGGCCCGGCCCGGACCCGGTTTGGTCCATGCCTACACACATAAGTTTATTTCACTGCAAAAGTCACAATTAGGTTAGTAAGTCATGTTAATGAAACACATAAGCTGCTTAAAAAACTGTTTATTAACAGAAATAGATGCTTAAAGTGGTGCTTACTAAGCATATCATCCCAGATGTATTAATTGAGCGACGTCTTAGGCTTTTTTAGTTTCCGAAATTACCTTACCATTACTCCTTGCCTTACCCCTTATTGTTACCTCTACCCTACACCTACCTCTAACCCTACCTAGACTCACACCACCCCTACCCACCACTACCCTACCTTACCGAGACCCCACCCCAGCCTTGCACCTACCTGTACTACCCTAGCCCTTCTCCATACCTTAATTCCCCATACCCCATACTCCGAGCCCGTACCCCTACCTCTTACCCATAACTACCTCTACTTGTCCCCGTACCGCCAACCCCCTACCGCACACATTACCCTTACCCCAACCATACCCCACCCCACCCCTACCGTACAAACTACTTTGTCTCTTATACTTTTTCAATACTTTTCTCTTCTCAATATTCTCTCTTTTACTTTTTCATTTATCATACACCCTCTATATTATTCCCACTATTTTCTTCTTAAAAATTGTGAAAAACATAAGAGGACAATAATTAGACAACGTAATTAGTATAATCTAAAATAATATGCTTATAGAAAGTATTAAGCCAAGCAAATAAATAAACTTCAGAGAAATAGGTGTCGTTTGGATATTGGCATTTTGGCTAAATATTAGCGTGTTTGACCATTTCAGCGTGTTGAACCATAGGAACGCTGCTTTTTTTCTGTTTGGCAAATGGAGGTTGGCCTTAGGCCCTTAACGTTTTGGACAAAACCTCGAAAAACCAAGACACTGCTAATCGTAGCGTTTCGACTTTGGCAATTTGAAACAGAGCCCGAATTCCATGGTTGCCGTTTGCCGTTTGGACTGCGACCGTTTGCCGTTTGCAGTCCTGCGACCGTTTGCCGTTTCGACTGCAGGCCTGCGACCGTTTGCCGTTTCGACTGCAGGCCTCCAAAAACCCCCTCTTTGTTTTTGCTACAGCCTACAGGCCTACGACCGTTTGCCGTTTCAACTTTGCAAGACGGACTAAATAGACTCTTGGAGATTATTCTCAAATACACGTGGGTTGAATACGTGGCTATTTACATCATTGAATCTCTGTTTTGATTTCAATGAGTATTGAAATCTGTGAATACGTGGCTACTCAGTATGTAAGGCTCTGCGGATTTTCTCAAGTTATGTATGCTTTTATTTTGATTTTTATTAATGCTTATGAATTCATTAATTTTTATTATTATATTATTATTTAGTTAATTTTAAAGTTAAACTGATAGATATAATGTACGTATAAATTAGTAGTGCTCAATTTGTATTGGCAGCTATACATTTGTTTATTACTGAAAGAATTTAGATCTAATAATAATAAGAATGTACTTAAAGTGACTTGTTTTTGCAAACAGAAAACCGACTTATGGATTTTTCTTGTAGATACTTTTTCCGTTAATGACACACTGCAATTTCCTGAGAAAGAAAATAGCACCTTGAAGTAAAACTCTGCTAAATCTTACTCCGTATTACTGAAAGATTTTTTTTTATTTATTTTGTAGATACTTTTTCCGGAAACTACTTTTTCTCTTAACCATACCACGAATTAAGTTGTACTCGTAATATTTTATCATTACTTACTAGTATAGTACCCGTGCATACGCATGGGAAAGAGCCGTTGGTGCATATTTTTTACTCATTATCTAATTAAATATTAAAAAAAAAGATAACTTTGTAAGATATATTCTACATTGTCGAAAAATAAGTGTACAATAAGCTAATACCATAAGCCTTATGGTATTAGGTATGGGTTCATACAATAAATATTCAATAAAGAATATATTAGAAAGTTAATTATTCAATGAAGAGTATATTAGAAAAATTAATTAAGACCACTCATTAGAATTTGCTACGAAGTACTTATTAATTTTCATGATTAAATTAATTTTAAAATTGAATACTATGATAAAAAAAAGTGAATACAATAAATATTAAAATTAATGAATACTATGTATTGGTTAAATAAGAACTTGCTACTCATTACTTAAATTAGTGCTAGCATATGAGAGAGAAAATTATCTGGTTCAATTCTTAGTCAGCTTATCTTATATAAAAATGAACTATATATGAGAGAAAATTCTCTTACTTAATTGTTACCCGGATTAACTTATACCTAAAAGCACTACATATGGAAAAAAAACTATACTTTGTTATCGTGCTTATCTTATAGAAAGAAAAGATAAGCATAATTGTTATCCTGCACTATGTATGAATCATTACACTTAATTGAATTTATGTACTTATTATAACTACATATATGAGAATTTTCCCACACCATTTTTAGCAAGTTTATCTTGTTATATACCTAATAGCACTACATATGAGAGAAAATTCACCCCGCTCAATTATTAGCAAACTTATCTTGCTATATCTAAAAACACTACATATGAGAGAGAAATTTTTCCCGTTCCAATGTTAGCCGGTTTATTATATCTAAAAGCACTACATATGGGTGAGAAAATTCTTTCCCTCAATTGTTAGCTAGACTATCTTATATACGTAAAACGAACTACATATAAGAGACAAAGTTCTCCCGCTCAATTATTAGCAAGCTTATCTTTTTATTTATATACTTAAAACCCTTACATATGAGAGAAAAGGACCTCTCGCTCAATTGTCAGCCGGCTTACCCTATACCTAAAAGCACTACATATGAGAGAGAGAATTATTCTCTCAATTATTAGCCTCCTTAATTATGGCCTAATCTTCTTATACCCAAAATTTTATAGCTAAAAGCATTATATATGAGATAAAAAAAATCGCAGTCAAATGTCAGTCGGCTTATCTTATACCTAAAAGCATTACATATGAGAGAGAAAATCTTAAAGCTCAATTGTTAGCCAGTTTATTTAATACTTAATACTTAAAACCACATTGGAGAGAGAGTCATTTCGTTCAATTGTTAGCTGATTTATCTTATACCTAAATGCACTTTATATGAGAGAGAAAATTCTCCCACATCTTCTACAAATGTGTAATCATTCACCCAATTAAGTACTCCAATTAAGTACTCCCTCTATCTCTAAAAATTCGCCAAATTGACTTTTCTTAATCAATGTCAATCAACATTAATTTGACTAATAATATTTTTTAATAAGAAATTATTTTGAATATGGAAATTATATCAAAATGTTCTTATTCAGAATACTTTCATGAAAGTATAAAAATTATAAATTCTATACAAATATAATAATTAAAATCATTATCCAAAGTTTGTCATTGTTAACCAAGAAAAGTCAATATGGTAAACCTTTTCGGGACGGAGGCAGTATTAAAATAAAAATAACTTTATAGGATATTAAATTTTTTGAAAAATAAGAGTACAATAAGCTAATACCATAAAGTATAAGCCCATACAATAAATATTCAATGAAGAGTAAATTAGGAAAACTTAATTAAGACCACTCATTAGAATTTGCTACGAAGTACTTATTAATTTTCATGATTAAATTAATTTTAAAATTGAATAATGTTCTAAAAAAGTGAACACAATAAATATTAAAATTAACGAATACTACATATTAGTTAAATAATACTACGCATTGTTAGATTACTTATCTTACCTTATACTAAAATATTTTGAAAGTAGACGTACTTCTATGGAAAAATTTTTAGTACATAGGTTGAATCACGGATAGAAAATAGTAGAAGGGCTTAAAATAAACGTTTATATTGTTTTTTCATTGTTCCCTATATATTTATAACTTTCATCTTTTACCATAATTTGTACTCTCTTCTTTTTCTTTCATTTTTCTGTTCGTCTTCTTCCCCTATTTCATTTGCATCTCTTTTTCTCTCTCCAATTTTGCTTGTTACGTTGCCCTTTAGTAAATCAAATTGAAACACTAACTATGAGAGATTTATTTCTTAGTGGTATTATTGTATATCGATCAGTTTGCTTTCGTTATTATGCATTGTAGGTTACAAATTCGTCTTTTTACTCCGTATAATTTAATCAATTCTCTAATGGCAATGTTTTTAATTTGTCTATATTCATCAAAATTTGAAATCTACAAGTTTAATTGATATAAATAGTTATACTAATAAGTAAAACAAATAAGGTCAATAAATTGATCAAATGGCCAAAAAAATTAATAAAGAGAAAAACACACTTTTAGTCTCTGAAATAGTCGTCATATTGAAATATCAGGCCTATGTTTCCCAAAATGTAAATGTCACCCTTCAATAGTCTACTGTTTAGAATACCACGTACGTTTCTTTTCTTGGTATATATAAATGCTTCCCTTCCTTTGAATTTGGTTGTTCAATATTATCCTTCAATTTGCCATGTGTCATTTATAGGTAGAGGAGTGAATTGTGGGGAAAATGACACATAGGTTTCATTAAGGATAAAATTGTATTTTTATGAGCTATTTCTTTTCTTATATACTACCTCCGTCCCTAATAAAACTTCCGATTGCGGGTTACGAAGTTTGACCAACGATAGAGTTAAATGATCCATGTGAAAAATCGGATTATTCTTAGTAAATAAAATTTACATATTTAGAAACTAAATTAAAACCGCTACAAAGCCTCTAAAAAATAATTCAATTTTTATAAAATTTTGATATATAAAGTAAGAGTTTAAGTGTGATTTAAGTTGACCTTCGAAAAATGAAATGAAGGAAAATACCATCAAGAATCCACCCATTGTTGTTGTTCAGTTGAAACTAAGGTTAGCTACTGCTTTATTCAGCATTAGTCTTAAATTTCTAATTCCGTCTACTATAACAACCAAAAGTTGTCAATTTTTGATACAATGAATTTGTTTGTTCATGTAAAGTAGACTTATTGATTTTTCAGAAGAATTGCAAGCTATTTCTTTGACCAAGTAGACTATGTTTTTGTTAAGAGTCTGATTCATACATGCCTTTCATGAATCAAAGAGCATTTCTTTAGAATTTTTGTTGTTGTGAAATTTGCTTTTAAATTTCAATCATTCGTCAGCACTTCACTTGAGATGTGATGTCACCTCTTTTAACTATGCCCACTGGAATTTAAGGAGTAATACATATATATGTCTATTTAAGGGTAATAGATTATAGATACGACACACTACCTTGAAATGTTTGAAGCAAAAGATAGATTACTTTTTCCCGTTGTTGCTAAATCAACCTCTAGCAATTCATAATTATTCATTTTGTTGTAAATTAAAGAAGATCTTAGTCATCTTACACGAATCGGACTATTTTTCTTTTGCGCATGTGAGACACTGACTAAAGATGATGGTAGATGGTAGATGGTAGATGGTAGATGGTAGATTGGTAGATGGTAAATTTATAAGATGGTAGATGGTAGATTGGTAGATGGTAAATTTATAGGCAACCATTGAAATGGGAATTTGAAAAGCCACATATCTTTGGCAAGTGCAAAATGGCTGGGCAGGGGTTCTCGGAATTCAAAAGGCCAAATATTACTGGCAGCTCATTTATTACTCCCTATATCTAAGTCTTAAAAAATGTTGTATGTCTAAGTCTAGAATGTTGTATTTGCACAACGTAACCGTCATGATTGTCTTTTTTGAGTACATATAAACTTTGTTAGTAATATACTGTACGTGAATAATACAATAATACGTACGTTCGTGTATAATACGATACAATTATATAAAATACGGCTTAATATATGTTTCATACGTTCGTGAAATATATAAAGATACAGACGCGTTTTAAACATTTTCACAAGTTTTAAATAAGTATGTGTCTTACATGCTTGTTTAATGATAGAAAAAAAGAGTTATTTAACTTTTGCACCACAATCCTCAACAATTTAAAATATACGGAATAGTTTTTTTTAGATTTACGGATTTAAATGCATAGGTACAATACGTAATAAAAATGACATTGCCTATTTAAGTAAAAGTGGAGAGATATTACTAGAAAAAATAGTTGATATTACTTTGACCATGAGTTTAGTGAGCCGCCACAAGATTTTTTGATCTCTTTGGAGTCTTGGTATGGGTGGAGAACAAAAGTAATACATTAGTAGTACAATAGAAATATCGAAACAGATTACGAATTTAAGAAGTTAATTCATTACATGTAATGACCGTTAAACAATTAGCGAACATATAAGGCATAACGTTTTTTAAGCAATATAAATAATATTGAGTAGCTTGACACGCATTTTGTTTCAGTTGTATCACTCCATTAGGCTTCCGTTTAATAGTGTTTTTTTTAATAAAATACGTATCAATACGTACAGTACGTGTTTTTTTATCCTTAAAGTCTGTGAGTTTTTCAGAATCTTCTGAAAAAATCATAAACAAGAGTATTATACGTAATAAAATACGTATCAATACGTACGGTACGTGTATTATACATTTTATCCTTAAAGTACGTGAATTTTTCAAAAAAATTTGAAAAATTCATAAACGGGAGTATTATACGTGAATTATATGTTCGAATGTATTATACGTGAATTATACGCGAATAAACTAACAGAGCATGTAAATCATAATCCACGTTTTTTTATCAAAACAACCGGGTACCAATAATTGCAATTTTTGGTGAAGATCAAAAGGCAACTCACTAAACAATCAAAAGCAACTCAATTAATGAACACTCCTCATTATGAACTTACACCTTTTTTGAATTTTGAATTCGAATGCAACTTGCCGCCCAATTTCCCTCCCAAACTCAGCTCCCTCCACACTTTTTCGTTTTAATATATATACATATATATATGTTGAGTTTAATCCAACACGATATAGTAAATATATGTATGAATGTGTATGAACAAGCTCAGTTTTTACGTGGAAACCCGAAAGGGAGAAAACCACGGGACTTTTTAGGCTAATATCCAAGCCCTCTCATTCTCATTAATCTCTCCTCACCATTTACATAGTACAATTTGAGCTCCATTTATAGAGTATTGAGCTAGCTAGCTAGAGAGAAAGAAGGAAGAAGAAGCTAAGGAAGGGCCCTAATATGGAGGGAAACTCCCATATTTATAGAGAACAGGGGCAGGGGATGCTCTCCGCCCTAATGGGCTGCATGGGCCGGAGTGGGCCCAAATGGCTAAAGTGGGCCGGATGGGCCAAAATGGGCCTAGCTGCTCGGGCTCCGTACTGAATAATGTCTTGGGCTCCTGAACAGTAATAGGCCGGGATAATATATCCCAACACAAGTCCCCCAGTTTCTTGAGTAGTGAGCGTGTGAATCTGCTCGAGAAAATATACTCTTGCCTGTGCTTTACCTCGGTCTAGCTGGAACCTGTGTCTTCGAATAATCATAATATATGAGTGGATATACACACTCCTGAACGTAAGCTGCCGGTGAGGCACCCCCGTTCCCGACGGGGTCGGGCGAAGGGTGCTCCTCCACGGGCACGCTCCCCCTGAATGCATCAGGCGAGAGTAAAGGACTCTGACTCGAGCTTTCCAACGGAGAAGCTTAGAGGTCCATGCATCTATAAACCGACGTCGCGGTACTGTCAAAACATGATGCACATGTGTATGTATGAATGTATGAGGTATGATGCATGAATGCATGTAATGTATGGGTGCAATGTATGAGAGAGGGAATGCAAGATGTGATAGGAGCGGTAGCCCTCAACGAGAACTCGAGCATGTCAGCGCCGAGAGGCAAATTATGCTGCATAAGAGACGTTCGCCGCCATCCTGGAAGGAGTGTGCGACCCGAACGTGAGCCAGACACGATGGCGCTGGGGCGCTGATCGTGCTGCATAAGAGACGTCCGTCGCCATCCTGGAAGGGATGGGCGACCCTAACGTGAGCAAGACACGATGGCGCTGGGGCGCTGATCGTGTTGCATAAGAGACGTTCGTCGCCATCCTGAAAGGGATGGGCGACCCTAACGTGAGCCAGACACGATGGCGCTGGGGCGCTGATCGTGTTGCATAAGAGACGTTTGTCGCCGTCCTGAAAGGGATGGGCGACCCTACGTGAGCCAGACACGATGGCGCTGGGGCGCTGATCGTGCTGCATAAGAGACGTTCGTCGCCATCCTGAAAGGGATGGGCGACCCTAACGTGAGCCAGACACGATGGCGCTGGGGCGCTGATCGTGCTGCATAAAACGTTCGTCGCCATCCTGGAAGGGATGGGCGACCCTAACGTGAGCCAGACACGATGGCGATGGGGCGCTGATCGTGCTGCATAAGATGTTCGTCGCCATCCTGGAGGGAATGGGGTGATCCGAACGTGAAAGAGACACGATGGCGCTGAGAAGCCAATCGTGCTGCATAAGACGGTCGTCGCCATCCTGGAGGGAATGGGCGAGCCGAACCGTGAAGCCAAGTACGATGGCGCTGAGGGGCCGATCGCACTGCATAAGACGTTCGTCGCCATCCTGGAGGGAATGGGGCGATCCGAACGTGAAAGAGACACGATGGCGCTGAGAAGCCAATCGTGCTGCATAAGACGGTCGTCGCCATCCTGGAGGGAATGGGCGAGTCGAACCGTGAAGCCAAGTACGATGGCGCTGAGGGGCCGATCGCACTGCATAAGACGTTCGTCGCCATCCTGGAGGGAATGGGGCGATCCGAACGTGAAAGAGACACGATGGCGCTGAGAAGCCGATCGTGCTGCATAAGACGGTCGTCGCCATCCTGGAGGGAATGGGCGAGCCGAACCATGAAGCCAAGTACGATGGCGCCGAGGGGCCGATCGCACTATATAAGACGTTCGTCGCCATCCTCGAAGGGAATGGGCGAGCCGAACGTGAAAGAGACACGATGGCGCTGAGAAGCCGATCGTGCTGCATAAGACGGTCGTCGGCATCCTGGATGGAATGGGCGAGCCGAACCGTGAAGCCAAGTACGATGGCGCTGAGGGGCCGATCGCACTGCATAAGACGTTCGTCGCCATCCTCGAAGGGAATGGGGCGATCTGAACGTGAAAGAAACACGATGGCGCTGAGAAGCCGATCGTGCTGCATAAGACGGTCGTCGCCATCCTGGAGGGAATGGGGGAGCCAAACCGTGATGCTAAGTACGATGGCGCCGAGGGGCCGATCACACTGCATAAGACGGTCGTCGCCATCCTGGAAGGGAATGGGCGAGCCGAACCGTGAATCTGGACACGATGGCGCTGAGGGGCCGATCGTGATGCATAAGACGTTCGTCGCCACCCTGGAAGGGATGGACGAGCTGAACGTGAGCTAGGTACAATGGCGTGAGGGGCTGATCGCACTGCATAAGACGTTCGTCGCCATCCTGGAAGGGAATGGGGCGATCCGAACGTGAAAGAGACACGATGGCGCTGAGAAGCCGATCGTGCTGCATAAGACGGTCGTCGCCATCCTGGAGGGAATGGGCGAGCCGAACCGTGAAGCCAAGTACGATGGCGCTGAGGGGCCGATCGCACTACATAAGACGTTCGTCGCCATCCTCGAAGGGAATGGGCGAGCCGAACGTGAAAGAGACACGATGGCGCTGAGAAGCCGATCGTGCTGCATAAGACGGTCGTCGCCATCCTGGAGGGAATGGGCGAGCCGGACCGTGAAGCCAAGTACGATGGCGCTGAGGGGCCGATCGCACTGCATAAGACGTTCGTCGCCATCCTCGAAGGGAATGGGGCGATCCGAACGTGAAAGAAACACGATGGCACTGAAAAGCCGATCGTGCTGCATAAGACGGTCGTCGCCATCCTGGAGGGAATGGGCAAGCCGAACCGTGAAGCCAAGTACGATGGCGTCGAGGGGCCGATCGCACTGCATAAGACGGTCGTCGCCATCCTGGAAGGGAATGGGCGAGCCGAACCGTGAGTCTGGACACGATGGCGCTGAGGGGCCGATCGTGATGCATAAGATGTTCGTCGCCACCCTGGAAGGGATGGACGAGCTGAACGTGAGCTAGGTACAATGGCGTGAGGGGCCGATCGCACTGCATAAGACGTTCGTCGCCATCCTGGAGGGAATGGGGCGATCCGAACGTGAAAGAGACACGATGGCGCTGAGAAGCCGATCGTGCTGCATAAGACGTTCGTCGCCATCCTGGAGGGAATGGGCGAGCCGAACCGTGAAATCTAGGCGCGGTCCGTCTTGGCTGGCTTATGAGAAGCCGATCGTCTGTCAGGACTTCATCCTGGGAGGAAGGGTGGACCTGGGTGTCGTCCCTCTGTCTGATCTGGGGAGCTGGTATTCGTCGTCCAAGGCAAAAGAAAGCCTGATGTTAGCCGATCGTCGTCGGCCACTTCATTCTTCGTACTTAAGTTTTGTAACTATTCTTTACATATGTTTTTCAGTTTGTACTTCCCAGCCAATAGCGCCAAGGGATAAAATCATTCTTTGCTCCGTGCTCTTCTGACATCTTTTTTTTTTTGGAGTCTTTTAGTCTTCGTTCGTCCTTGGTTCTTGGTCCTACCGGCGTCCTTACTTCGAAGAGACGTCCGGTATCCTCGAAACTCGCAAGGAGGAGCAGGTTTATCTACATCGAGATTCCCCCTTTTTTTTTGTTCGTCCGTGGTCCTTTTAGTCTTACCGGCGTCTCTTGCCTCGAAGAAGACGTTCGGTACCCAAGGAACTCGCAGGGACGAACTGGTTTACCCTCACGGGTTCCCGGCTTTGTTATCCCACGTCCATCGATCCATGGTCGTTGTGGGATAAACAGGTTTATCTTGGCAAAGCTCCCTTGGTTCGTCTAGCCCCCTCCGCGTCTCTACTAACCTCTACATCGAGAGGCGTTCGTCTTCGGCGGTGGGAGAAGATCTGGCACGCCCGGGCAAGATTCCCTTCCACATAGGAGCTCACGTCCTCTTCTCCCCATCTTTTCTTTTCTTTTCTTTTTTTTTTGAGGGAGGCAATCTATATTCTTCGTTCATCCTTGGTTTTTGGTCCTACCGGCGCTCTTGCTTCGAAGAGACGTTCGGTATCCGCGAAACTCGCAAGGAGGAACAGGTTTATCTACAACGAGATTCCCTAGCTCTTCTTTGTCCGTCCCTGGTCCGTGGTCCTACCGATCTTCCTACATCGAAGAAGACATTCGGTATCCAAGAAACTCACATGGATCACGGGATGTCACACATAATGGTGGTGGCATAGCGAACGAATATAATGACGAGGCGATAGAATAGCTGGTCGTCATGCGAAGGCGATGGTCACCTTCCTGGAGGGGAGTCGTGAGCCCGATCGCAAACTCAAGAGGGTCGGCATTGGGAGCCGACAAACAATGATCATAATGTCGCTGAGCAGTCGGTCCTGATGAGGAGATGGCAATAGTGTCCGGTCAGGCCGATGTATCCGAGCAACGGCTCTCATCCAACGCAGCGCGGGGATGAAACCGGTCTTCAAAAGATAAATATGTCGTGCCGAGAGGCCGAACATAACATGATAGTGTCGGCAATGAGGGGCCGACCTGAAAGAATCAAGCAACGGCCCTCATCCGCGAGGAGCGGGGATGAGGCCGGTCTTCAAATATGGAAAGCACGCCGAGCTGGGAGGCCGGTCGTGATATAATGGTGTCGGCAATGAGAGGCCGATCTGAGAAAACAAGCAACGGCCGTCATCCGCGAGGAGCGGGGATGAAACCGGTCTTCAAATATGGAAAGCACGCCGAGCCGGGAGGCCGGTCGTGATATAATGGTGTCGGCAATGAGAGGCCGACCTGAAATCAAGCAACGGTCCTCATCCACGCATCGCGGGGATGAGCCCGGTCTTCAAATAAGATAACCATGCCGTGCCGAGGGGCCGGTCATGATGTAATGATGTCGGTAATGATAGGCCGACCTGAAATCCAAGAAACGGTTCTCATCCGCGCAGTGCGGGGACGAGGCCGGTCTTCAAATATGATGATCATGCCGTGCCGAGGGGCCGGTCATGATGTAATGATGGCGTCAGACGGCCCTCGGCCGTGACGATCTCTTCTAGGCCCTCGGCCTCTGAATGACGGGTGATCGTCTCACGGTTCTCTGTCATGGCATTCGCCTCTAGGCCCTCGGCCTCTAGGTGTTCTTCCTAGGCCATCGGTCTCTGGGGTGGAGATGCTCGTCCCACGGTTTTCAACCGTGGTGGTCTCCTCTAGGCTCTCGACCTCTGAGTGGAGATGCTCGACTATCGGCTCTCAGTCGTGATGGTCTCCACTTTAGCTGGCTTTGAACGTCTTTGAGACTTAGGCCGATCGTCTTTTAATCCTTTCGCTCGAGCGCGTCGAGCGACTTCAGCTGCGCAATAAGCATGGTAACGGGCCGCACGGCCTGACAATAAATATGCACACATAACCATCTGCATGGCTTTCTCTTTAACATCCACGATTACCGGCCTATGGGTCATCGTGACCCTCGGCCCGGCTCATCGTGCGGGGTTAATGGACGTAGCAGCTCGCGGCGGGGCCAATAAGCAGCCCACCGAACGTCACATAGAGATATTCATCGGTCTGTGAGTTTTCAAACTCAGACCCAAGTTGGTCGCACTGCCCTCGGAAAAACGAGGTTGAGTGATTTGGTGCCCCCGGGCCCCATAGGCCACGTTTGGCAATAGTCACTTCGCGCCTAATGGCGTAGATTACATTGGGGTATGATCGTCGATCGGGCACGTAGTGCCATGCGGACTAATGCGCAACCCTCAAATTAAAATGCGTCGTCGGGTCATCGCCTTTCTGGAGACGCTCGGATCACTTAGTCAAGCTGATCGAGAGTGGGCCAACATGCCCACAAGAAATTAAATATTCAATAAAATGTTGGCTGAACCAACCATCATTAGAGCTTCGCTCCACATTATTTAATTCGGGACATTTTATCCCTAATAAATAATAGCTAGTGATATAACAGGTAATAGTAATGATGTTATCCTATCAAAGGCCATTCCGGTATGCTCCGCCCGCTAATTAAAGCCGATCAGGAGCGGGCCAACGGGCCCACCACAACCCATCATTAATTAAAATGACAGTGAAATTAATTATCACTTAGAGCATCGCTCACAATATTTAATTCTGGGACATTTTAATCCCTATTAAATAATGGGATAATATACTAGCAATATTTCAAGTTTTCAACTACTAAAGTGTTTAATTAGCGTATGATGGAATTAAAATACTTAGCTTTGAAGTCGTGCCCTTTAGCCGGGAAGCAACTATGGAAGACTTGTCCAAATAATGGTCTGATTGTTGACTGAGCCAACACACTCCAAATAATGTCCTGCTACGTACGTTGACCGCCCAAAATAATGCTTGGTGCCCCGTCTTTGTTGCTAATTCCACTCTTGGACTTCGGGCTTTGTACGTGGCCTGCTCTTAGCCAAGTGAGGAGCATCTTGTGGAGAGGCAAATGAGCACCCCACCAAGGAAGGGCAGTATCGTTCGGCCCCTGATTGACGGCAGCAATGGAGCCATGGCAGCTCAACGGCGGCCATGGAGGCTTGTCTTCGGCGAGGGATCAGCCCTGGTCAGATATTTGGCTCTCGAGAACTCCAAGTCACCATTAATGTCGGAAATCAAGGAAGCTTAGGTTGGCGGCGAGGTGGATAAGCTAGCCGTGAATGGTGACCGGCGACCCTGTAACGGAGGCAAAAGACCGTAAATACCGCGAAGAGTGTCGGAAACCATCGCTCCTGGTTTACTGGAGACGATGATAACCATCTGAGGCGGCACCAGTCACTTTCGAGCTGCCACAGTGAGGTCCAGTGAGCAGCGACCTTCAGTTGATGGTGCCGACGCAGCATGGACGGTTATGGCGATTCCCGGCGGCCCTGGCAGTTTCCGGCGAAGGTTGGGATGTTCCAGATGTGAAGAATCCAGATCTGTATCTTCTTCTTTTCCCAGAATCATTTTTTGTAGAATTTTTTCTTCCGAATCACTTTTCTTTGTTGAAAACCAGTTCATGTCGTATCAATTTTTTTTTTATAGAATTGAAATGAAGAACAACGTGAATCTTTTTGGACAGATTCCCACATACGGCGCCAGTGTTGAGTTTAATCCAACACGATATAGTAAATATATGTATGAATGTGTATGAACAAGCTCAGTTTTTACGTGGAAACCCGAAAGGGAGAAAACCACGGGACTTTTTAGGCTAATGTCCAAGCTCTCTTATTCTCATTAATCTCTCCTCACCATTTACATAGTACAATTTGAGTTCCATTTATGGAGTATTGAGCTAGCTAGCTAGAGAGAAAGAAGGAAGAAGAAGCTAAGGAAGGGCCCTAATATGGAGGGAAACTCCCATATTTATAGAGAACAGGGGCAGGGGATGTTCTCCGCCCTAATGGGCTGCATGGGCCGGAGTGGGCCCAAATGGCTAAAGTGGGCCGGATGGGCCAAAATGGGCCTAGTTGCTCAGGCTCCATACTGAATAATGTCTTGGGCTTCTGAACAGTAATAGGCCGGGATAATATATCCCAACAATATATATATATATATATATAGAGTCCCGTTCCTATCAGGAGCTCCTGAAGAGAAGCTCCGTGCGGACAAGACCATCAGAGGGTCTTCCCGGTGGAATTTTTTGATCAAATTTTTTGAGCATGTTCCTCATCAAGTCTAGTTTGTCCATACCAAATTTCAGCTCAAAATTCCATCGGGAAGGTAGTCAAATAAATCCTGGAAACATACTGCACATTATATGCGTGCAGAATGCACCATATTTTTCCAGGATTTATTTGACTGCCTTCCCGATGGAATTTTGAGCTGAAATTTGGTATGGACAAACTAGACTTGATGGGGAACATGCTCAAAAAATTTCATCAAAAAATTCCACCGGGAAGACCCTCTGATGGTCTTGTCCGCACGGGGGTTCTCATCAGGAACTCCTGATGTGAACTGCCCTCTATATATATATATATATATATATATATATATATATATATATATATATATATTAGAGGGTTATTTAAACCCCTTATGTGCTTCATTCTTGATCATCTTGGAATAAAATTGGTTTTAGCTTTTTGGTTTTGGGCAACGATATTTTTATCGTTGATTATCTCGGCAACAGTTTACACCATTGTTTTTTATTTTTTTGTTCACAACAATTGATCCAAGCTGTCGGATCCCGTCCCGCCGGAATGACAAGATCAATCACTGAACGTTTGCCAAAGATGGAGGCCGAACAGGTTTTGCTGAACCAGAAACTGGACGTGCGGGGAACGATGCTGGCGGAGATCGCAGCCTCCTTGGCTGCGCTCACGAAAGCTCTCGCGCAACTAGCGGCGGAGGAGCATTCATTGGCGGCGGCTTCACTTGACGCGACAGCGGCTTCACTCGACGCGGCAGAGGCATCTGCGTGCGGAACTGGACTGTGCTTCGCCAGCAAAGAGGGTGGCAACCGCTAAAGTTGTGATGGAAGAGTCAGCTGTATACTGGTTGACCTGGTTATGGACTCGAAAGTCGGGCATGTCATGGGATGAACTTACACAGACGTTGATAGCCTATTTTGACTCACGGTTTAAGGGCAATCGCTTTGAGCGACTGTCCAAAGTCAAGCAAAAAGGACCGTGGAGGAGTACATCTTAATTTTTGTTCACCTAACAAGTCAGGTCTCAATGCTATCCGACGATCACTATTTGAGGTATTTAATGAACGGGCTGAAAAAATCGAGTGACAGTTTTGCTAAAGATATTGGGCAGCCCTCGGGAACAAATATCATCCGGTTTCCGGATTTCAACCTTGAGGACAAAGTTTTTTCGAAGGGGGGTGGAATTGATATGAAGCAGAATCGGGGCTTGGAAGAAGAGGGACAGAAGCCTCCGTGGGTTTACTGAAGGCGGGGCGGGCTTGAACCCACTTTCGCGGGCTGGTTGCGGGTTGTTTAATTAATATTTATTATTCCTTTTATTTTGTTTTCTAATTTATTTTGTTTCCTAGTATGATTTAATTAGAACTTCTATTCATATTAGAATTAGAGGCTTCCTATTTCTATTTTTTTCCCTAGAATGGTTTAATTAGGACTTCTATTAGAACTAGAGATCTCCTATTCTATTTAGTTTCCTATTATGATTTAATTAGGATTCCTATTCTTATTATACTTAGAGGGTTATTTATACCCCTTGTATGATTCATTCTTGATCATATTGGAATAAAATTGGTTTTAGTCTTTTGGCTTTGGGCAACGGTATTTTTATTTTTCCGTCCACAACACTGTGCCACTACTCTCATGAAGTTGCTTGAATAGCTGAATCTTCATACCTTTTTGATGAACTTCCAACGTGCCATTGCTTCTATTTTGGGTCAACTAGCAAGGGCGTATCTAGGGTGGGGGCAGGGGGGCAGCTGCCCCCACTCAACCCTTATATATATATATATATATATATATATATATATATAGGGGAAAGATCAAGTACAAAGTGTGCTTATTGTGCAAATATTTGTACGATGCACCTAAAAAGTTGAGTTTTATTACAAAAATGCCACCTTGCCTTTATGTCCTTTGGATCAACTCATCGGACGGTCAAGATGAGTTTGTACTTTGTAAATTAAGAAAGCTTTGTATTTGATCTCTATTCTATATATATATATCCAAATTAAATTTATACATATATTTTTGTTCTAAATAAAGGGTTATTATAGAGTAAGTACAAGATTTTTAATCAAAGGTGCTACTCGTTCAGCGGAAAGAGTTGCAGTATTAAGTGTTGTTAGGTCAGGAGGTCGATTCCTACATGCATTTTTTGTTTCTCTTTTGTGCTTGAAGCCTTAAGCAAATTCTAAGTGGTTTTACATTGTTCTTTTTACTCTTTTTTCTTGTTGGAAAGATCTAAACTACATCAATATATTTACAGTTCTAGTTTCACGTATGAACTGATTTTGTACATGATATATAATATTTTTTAAATATACTTGTGAATTTTAAATTTAAATTAATTCTAACTACATGCACCTCCTTCCCTTAGTTGATTCATTTATATATTGACATACTTTTTCACAAATTACAGATTCCATGTGATGAAATTATTTCTAACGAAGTGAAATTTAATTAAACGTGATATCATAATGTTTTATATGAGAGAATATTTTGTCATTTATAATTGGTTTTACAATTTTTTCTTAATCTTATTTTTCATGTATTTTTTTCTTAATCTAAGGTAAATCCGTCCCCGCTGACATATTTTTCTGGATACGCCACTGTCAAGTAGTACTTAAATTTGTAAACCTGTTTCAGTTGTTATTGATGAATTTGCTTACCTTTGTAGCTCTGTTAATTCTTTGTTGAGACTTAGGATGTTTTTACTTGGATTGTCATTTGCTGGTCTGGTCTGGTTTCTTTGTATTTTTATAACTACCCAAGTTTGGTCTGTTCTGGGACAAATTACAGTAAAAACATCCTTATCAGTTGGAAGTATGCCATTGTACATTTCTATGTATGCTAGCTTTTCTAGCATGAACTCATGAAGTATGCCAAATTCATTTCCTCCACAAGTTGAAGAAGAAGAATATGTCGACTTGTACTTGTTTAAGTTTTAGATGATGCTACGTACGGGGTATATAATACTCCGTCCGTTATTTTTTAATTGCAACGATCCAGTTTTTACATTTGTCAACATACAAATTTGACCATTAATACATTTCATTTCATATTAGTAAAAAAATAAAAAATTTAGATTTTGGAAATTTAGAACGAAAGAAATTAATAATATTTTTTATTAAATTTAATTTATAATACATTAATAAATAAAATAGAAACAAAGTAGAACATGTGAATAGTGCAAAACATGAAATGTTGCATTTAAAAGAGAACGGGGATAATATTAGAATAAACCATACCAGATTACATATGATCAGCATTTGTTAGCTCAACGACTTAATATACCGAATTGTGGAGAAATTAAAATATACTTTGTATTTAAATTAAATAAAGATATTATGTAAAAAATCTAAAACTGTTGTTTTCACCAAATACAATTCGAAAAGTAACTTCCATTTTATTTATTTTGATTATTTCACAAATGAACATGTAAAATCAAAAGTTCAATGATTGGTTAAAAAACTTATTGATAAGTTTAAATGGTGTTATCAAACAAGCTCTAACTCTAAATAATACGTAGTACTTCGTAACAAATGCACAAAACGTACAAAAAGAGTTTTTTTCAACATGTAGTACCAAAATAAAATTTATTCACAAAAATATGACTAAAATGGAAAATATGTCTAAAGTGACTCTGAAACAAGATCACTTAAGTGTAAAAATTGAACAAAGTTGTCGTTCCAAAGTGTAAAAATCCATCTTCAAGGAGCTCTTCTGGAAGGCCGTAACTTCCGAGGCACGGGCAGACTATCGTTTGAGAAAGTTGATTCGATAAACTCGATGTTGATTAGGATGGATGTAAAATCGGACTCAAAATCTAGATATACCCCTCGCCATCGAGGTGGCCTCTCGTGCACTTGTCTAGCTCTTCCCTACTTTGTCAAAGCTCTTGCTGATTTCAAAGCTTTGTTACTATATCAAATGATCAAATGACATCTAATGAGCATCAATTGTTTGCTTTAGAAGGTCACTTTTATATTTTAACAATATATTACATCAAATATCATTTTTAGCAAACACTCCAATTTTAACATTTTAAGTTTAATCACTTCTACTCTAAAACATCACCCACTTTTGTTTTTAAGCAACTCTTACTAGTAAGCACTAAGCACTTTATTCAAAATCAATTCAAGAAATAATTTTTTTCAAATTTTTTTTCAAAGTAGAAGCAAACGTGAATGGTGAGATTCCAGCTGAAATCACATTGCTCGTTGGGTTGGTTTCTTTGAACTTATCACGAACTATCTAAAGGGACTAATTCCCTTAAGGATTGGTAACTTGGCAAGCTTAAATAGTCTTGAATTGTCTAATAATCATTTGTCGGGTAGCATCCCTAAAAGCATTGTGTTATTGATGCCATAGGTGTTCTCAATGTCTCCAACAAAAAATTATCAAGCAAAATTTCAAAAAGCACTCAACTTCAAAGCTTTGATGCAAGTGTTGCCCCGATTACACAAGGAACAGTCTAGAGGAGGGTGAATAGACTGTTGTGATTTTTAACTTTTTCAAGCTAAGTACGAAGGTTCAGAATAGGGGTGGGCAAAAGACCCGGTCCCGTTGGTCCGTTCCGGAATGTTCCGGTTCCGTCCCGAAATTGTCCCGTTATATTTGGGATACATTATTTTTGTCCCGTACCGGTCCCGAACCGTTTTAAAACAAAACGGGACCGGGACAAGTAAAATATATCCCGTTCCGTCCCGTTGTCCCGAATCCAAAATTGTATGTAGTACTTTGTAATAGGTTATTGAGTTTATTAACAACTCATTATGTAATACAAATAATAATAGTTATTCTTTTTTCATAACCCAAATACAAATGATTATTAAATACTAGTTGATTAATAATATAACACCTAAAAAAACTCTAAACTACCTACTATCGCATACTATAAACTATCATCTATCTACAAAAAAAAAAGAAATTGATTTTACTCTCAAAGTATTCTTTTATCATTTTATTATAGATTCCTTGATAGATTTTTGTGATAGTTTTTTCTGCTGCAACTTTTGTTTCATGCAGCTAATCTGGTAAGTTGCATTTTTTTCTCACAATTTTCTATATTAGCTATAGCTTTTTTGTCATAGAGTTTTCTTGCGCTAGTTTTTTTTTTAATTTTTTCAAATAGCTTTGTTTTGTTTTTGGATTGAAATTGTTTGACTACAATTTTTTGGGATGTCCCGAACCGTCCCGTTTTGTCCCGGTACCGGTTTAAACGGGACAACAAAGGGACAATGTCTTGTCCCGTCCCGTTCCGAACCGTTATTGTAAAACGGGTTCGGGACCGGGACAACCCAATTCCCGTTCCGTCCCGGACCGTGCCCACCCCTAGTTCAGAATAGGGATGGACTGGGCCGGGCCGAACCGGCCCGGAACCGGACCGGCCCGCTACTGTGAGGGGCCCAGACCGAACCGGGCCCGGTTGGCCGGTTCCGGGCTTTTAGCCCGTGTTGGCGGGTCGGGCGGGCCGGTTCCGGGCCCTATTTTTGTTGAACCGGCCCGGGCGGTTCGGGCCGGGCCCGGTTCATTTTTTTTTTTTTGGTTTTTTCAATTTTTTTTCTTTTCCTAGGGTAGGGCTGGGTGTTTTAGGGAGGTTTGGGGCGTGGGGGTGAGGGGGGGGGTAGGGAGATAACAAGAAAGTCAAAAAAAAAAAAACATTGAACCGGGCCCGGCCCGGCCCAGTTAGGCCCGGACCCGGTATCAACTCGGGCCGGTTCCGGGCCCATGTAACCCGAAAAAAAGCCCGCCCGGCCCCGGCCCGGAACCGGAACCGGACCGGCCCGGGTCCATCCCTAGTTCAGAATAGCCTGTTGAGTTGAAGAACAGACTGACAGCGAATGATCTTCTGGTAAGGGTTCTGTCTGGTTTAGGGATGGACTCGGGCCGGGCCAACCGGCCCGGAATCGGACCGGCCCGCTACTGTGCGGGCCCGGACCGGCCCGGTCAACCGGTTCGGTTCCGGTTCGGGCCTCCAGGCCCGGTGGTATACCGGTCCGGGCCCGGGCCTCCAGTTTAGTGAACCGGCCGGGCCGGGCCGGGCCCGGTTCGGGCCGAAATTTAATTTTTTTTTTTTTTTTGAAATTTTTTTAAGTTTTGGGTTGGATTAGGTATTTTGGGCCATTTGAGGTGGTTTGGGGTGGTTTGGGGTGGAGGGGGAGGGGTAGGGGGTTAAATAAGAGAAGAAGAAGAAAAAAAAAAAAAAACATTCCGGGTGGCCCGGCCCGGCCCGGCCCGGTTCTGGCCCGGAACCGGAACCGGAACCGCCCACCACCGGTTCGGGCCCGGGCCTCCTTTTTCTGAACCGAGGCCCGGCCGGGCCCAGGCCCGAACCGGGCCCGAACCGGAACCGGTCCACCCCTAGTCTGGTTAGCCTCACAGAGGTGCTAAGGCAGTTGACCTTCTATTAACTCACAAGACCAGTTCTGCTGGACACAAAGACCAAGTCTTTGGAGTTAAGCAGTTTTAAAGTAAATGCAAGTATTAAAAGCAGTAAGTAAATGACACCAGGGATTTTAAACATGCAAACATAGTCAGCCAACCCTATATCACTTATCACCCGACAGTTTTACCACCAGAATAAACATCCCAAACGTTCATCAAACTCATTCGCGAATTCTAGAAATCGTAGTTGGCTTCTCATGATGACTCAAAAAATGACACTTGGAGTTGTGTCTTAGCAATCCCACTTATTATCAAGTGTCAATTAACAACAACAAAAAAGTCCAATCAAAAGCTTCAGTACAACTACAGAGTTTAAGTTCATGCCACCGCCCTTAAGAGAGTGGATCAAGAAAAGGAATCAATCTCAAAGACAAGTGTTGTTGAAAGTAAGTCACAACACTTTTTATTGTCACAACATTTCCCAGATGCACTCATTAAGCTTGCAGGCCAATGATACCTGAACAAAGATGACAATGAATGTTTAGTTCAGAGTTATGTTGCACAGAAAAGCAAGAAGACCAGAAAAGACACAGATTGGTGTCTGCAAATAATTTCATTTACTTTCTTAGAATATCATTGTGTGCAATCAATGAAGTTTGGGAAACCGAAAAATATTGTTACAGTATAAAGTTTGGGAATGCTTACCGCAAGCAACCCTTGCTCCAGCATTTCCAGTTGTTTTGCTGAGTTCATGACCACCTAAGTAGTAAAGGTGCAAAAAAGAATATTAACATACGACTCTCCATTTATGTGGAAAAAAACATAATGAAACTTCTTATTGACAAAAAAAATGGAAACAGTCAGCAGCAGCAGCAAACTCAGTTGAAAGAAGAAATATATTTAATTTGCAACACATATTTAATGTGTGGATTGTTTTGTCCATTATTCAATAGTCTTCTCTCAAGCCTAGAGGCCTAAAGTTCAGTGCAAATCCCTTTTCCCCCAATTCAGAAACGAATGATTCACAACTCTGGAATGGCAAGACCAACCGTGTAGGATTTTATTGAAGAATCTGATTGAAAATTTCATTTCATAAGTGTAATCATAAATTACATCATGTAAATTAACAGAGCATAACATGGCATGCAAGTGTTGGGGATAACCACCTTTCCCAAGATCATCAAGATCACCATGAACAACTACGGCTCTTCCAAGGATAGAATTAGTTCCGATAAGAGGAATCTGAAACAGTTATAAGTAATAGTTATAAAATATTTAAGAGATTGGCTAACAATTAATAATAAAGCCAACTCGTGTTTATTTTTGCACTCAATTTAACCCAAGCTAAAGATGGTGATTCACCTGACTGTCAATGATGTTAATGGGAGCGACACCTGAAACATTTGATATATGTATCAGAAACACCCATAAACGAACTACTTCCAATCCTCCATCCCAAAAAAATCTATGTTTGACCATCATAGAACATTCAAATATTGTAGGGTACAACTATCATATACCATACTTTCACTTTAAAATCTTTGGTATAATTCTCGAAATAGGAGTAGAAACAATGTAACATTCCAAAATAGGAGTACTGTGTTTTTCCTAAACTGCCAATCCAGAAAACTTAGGGCCATATTTTTACATTACTGGGCTTTGTCTTTAAATATGGCAATATTTTCCATGCATGGCAGCAATTACTCCTATTTAAGAATAAAAACATAGTACACCCATTTTGGAATTCCATAATGACTTTACTCATATTTAGGCAATAACAACAAACAACATTACCCCGGTGCCGCAAAGGAACAGTGGGGGGTAAGGGGGGTCATATATACGCATTGAGAGACTGTTTTTGAATGACCCGTGACGAAACTCACGTCGAAAATTGCATGGACTGACTGCTACTTCATAACAAAAAAGCGAGAGCCATTTTGCTTTATTCCATTATATTCCAAAACAAAAAAAAAAATAGTGAGTCTTTTACTCATGGTTAGGGCATTTTCTTAAAATCTTTTGTTTGTTTAACTAAAATTATCATGTCATTTGTTTGTAACATTTTTGTTGAACTACATGAAATTCACTTTTGTTGATGAAAAATTAGTCTTTCTCGAGACAGAAAAGTATTTAAATATCGGAATGGAGAGTAGAAAACTTCAAATGGAGATATACGTCAATGCACTGAACCAAATAATTATGCTTTGTTAACAATTTTATACTGTTAAGGACACAGTTACAAGACACACTTAGCAATGATGGTGCAAACACCTAGGGGGGCAAGTGAGGCAGTCAACGAAAGCAGCACACATGCAGGAAGTCTAAGGCTGTCCAGCAAAATAGCAAATACCCCCTAGAGGTCTTATTTTGGCATTGTCCAGCTACTTTTTACTTCAGCATTTGGTCTCTTGTTATAGCTGTATAAGAGCCTTCAGTTCTATTTCATAAAGTAATTCTGGAAGAGTTAATCATGGGTAGGTGACATAGGTCTAATACCTGATTAATTGCAATTTAAGAAATATTGGTACCTAAATCTCTTCTTTTCGTTAACATAAATCCAAAAGTTTCATGAAGTAACTTCCTCTCGTTTATTTAGTCTCGGCCTTGGGCAAGATCTTGGAGGCTTGGGCAAGTGCTTAACATAAACTACGTTGTTTAGAGTCTTAAGCAGGTATCTTCACCAACATTCTGGTAAGATGTATAGATATATATTAAATGGATGCGGGACTTCCTCTGATATAGCCATAGTGTACACAAAAATTAATGCTGAAGACGTCATTAGCTCAGAAGACAGATCTAACCTAGTTTGGAGTGAATAGGGGGTGATGCCTGCTACATCAAAAGATCTATGAAGAACTAAAGAGAAATCAAGTAGAGGATTTAAGAGAATTTGTTGTGCCGCATGCCAAATGACGTACAAATTGATTAGATTAAATAAATAAATTTACCATCGTTTCCAGCTGTGATGTTTCCAAGATCACCGGCATGACGGGTTTCATCTTCAGGAGCTCCATGATCCTTCCCACAAGGATTGAAGTGTGGCCCTGTATATTTATTAGATTTGAGGCATTACACAAGAAAATGCAAGTGAAGCTTAGTTAACCCAAAACAGATAAATTCGTTGATTCAGTAACGAACACAAAAATAAACAGGTAATCAATCCAGCCATGAAAAACACAAGGGAAACCTATCAAATAGACCCTCTCACTTTATCAAAAATGCTAATTAAGTCCCTGTACTCCAAAAACACCTAATCAAACCCTTGAAGTTGTAAAAAAAAAAACAGGTCTTTCATTACGAGGCCACCCAGGAAGGTCGCATTCTTTTTTAATTTTTTACTTCTATTTTTGTATATTAAGTTCATCCCTTCCTCTTTTCTTATTCTGACACGCATCTCCCCCTGTGCTCCATGCCCCCACACTATTCTTAAACCTACTATCCTTCTCCATTTAATAACATCACGATTCTCCCAACATATACGAAATTTTTTATAACTATTCTTACAGGAGTGGTGCCTTCCTTTTGGCTCCAATATCATGTATTGATTCATGTTACCTTGGATGCTGTTGTTGATCCTTACAGGAGTTGTGTGTATTACTCGATTACACAATAGATGTTGGAGCTCTGGGAAAAAATAATATTAGGACTAGTAGTATGTTGTCCTCCTCTCCACACTTTCTTCATTATTGATTTCTGAGTTCAAATTCTTTGCAAAAAATACAAAAGCCGACATTGCTAACATCATTCTACAGAAATTTAAAATCTGAAGATTAAAGGGCATAACAATTCAATCTGTTACTTTCCTATCTCTGTTCTAGGTAGGCATCTTTAATTGGTTGAGATCTTCTTTGTGGCATCACCAGCAAACCTTTTCTACAAACATTGCTTCTTGTAGCCTTAATATGCAATGGATAGGGTTTGCCCACTGCTTCAACTGTGTTTACAGCCTTTAGATGTCGGAAGACCTCAACAGACAAGGAATGAATAAAAAATCCAGTATTTCCAATGGGAAGAAAAAGTGGTTGTAGCCTTAGAGGAAAAGGTCGAGAGAGGAGATAGACTTGATCTAAAAAATTAAAAAGGACACATAGGTAGCCATGTAATCTGGTTACCAGAAAAGCTGTGGATGACTGCCTAAATGGCAAAAAAAATTCAACTTCGAGGGTGTGATTGGGTGATTTTGGAGTACAAGGGCTTAATTGTCATTGTTTGATAAAGTATGAAAAGGATGTAATTGACAGTTTTCCCAAAAACCAATTACTAAGAAATGGACACTGAAGTCTTTCGCTTAAAACAGTTACCAGTTGACAAGCAGCCATTTGTTGTGTCACCAAGGGCATGGATATGGAAGCCATGAAGACCAGGCTTGAGGCCTGTTACACTTCCACTAACTGTAGTTGGACCTAAGACAGTTCCAAAGCATATCCATTCAGATTTCATCAAGTGAAAATTTAGATTGTACATTTTAAAAAAATAAAGAAGTAAAATATGAACCTTGGATATCATCTTGGGTGAATTGAATGGTGCCACAGACACCTTCAACGCCGTTAAGAACTGCAACTGCCTTCACCATTTTTGCTTGTTATCTGTGATCTATAGAGTTCCAGAAACAATGTATTACAAAGTTGACAATTGACATGAATTTAGGCCAACATATAGCAGGTAGGAAAATTATAGAGCTTCACAGATAGGATAATCAAGTCAGACAAGTGAAAGCACATCAAAAAGCGCAAACACAAATTTATTAAATGTAATTCATAACAAACACCACTCCCAACTAGTGCATCTTTAACCTATTATACAAGCCATAACCTAGAATCAAGTGCAAGTCTAGAACTACCCAAAACCAGAAAATCCAATAAGTTTCCCAGCAATCACAAGCCGACGTTTCCTTTCTCAAGCTCATTTCTGTACAAGACCCAAATAATAAGACGGCGGTTGGTCTCCCCACATAAGAAGCAGGTTAGGATTGCAGAAAAATGCCAATCCACCAAGGATAGACAGAGGTGCTTGTAAATCGTAGGGAAAAAAAACTATACCACCGATTGGATGAAGCTTTGACGATGCAAATTTTATGGGTCGGATTCGCCCAGTAAATATTTGATGGGAATGAAAATAACAGGAAAGAATTAGAAACTATGCAGAAAGATGAAATAGCGTGATGATCAATCCGAAACACATAAAAACAGCCAGATCAGATACTATATTTCGCCGGAAAATGGATGAAATGTGTTTTACCTCAGAGCACCCCTCTCTAGTTTCTAGACTGAGACGGATAGAGCAGTCAACTTATGTCGGATCACTCGGATGGGAGTGATTTTGGGGTTTCGTAGTGACTTCATTGAGGAGCGCTCGGGCAGGTTCGGGTGGGGCCGTGTGATTAACAATTTAACCGACCTATTTTCCCTAGTTTTTTTCCCAAAACAATAATATAATTACATAAATATAATCAAAATAAAAATAATTTATAAAAATATGATTAATTACTAGAGAAAATGGAGAAATCATAGTGATTAAATTACAACGAGTCAACTCCCCAAATAAGACTAAAAAGTGGCAAAATTGCACAAATAGGACTACATTTTTTAAATTCCCTTAATAGGACTATTTATGTGTGTTTGGACAAATATACCCTTGTAACTTGTGAAATGTTTTAATTAATAATAAAATCATAAAAAAATTAATAAAAATCGAAAAATATGCTAAAAATCGTAAAAAAATAATAGAAAATTAATAAAAATATTTTTCAAAAAAATAAAAAAAAATTAAAAAAATAAAAAAAATCATAAAATTTAAAAAAAAAAACATTACCCCCTCTGCCACCCCAGCACCACCAGCTCCCATCACCGGAGAAAAATATGCCAACATTTTAAATAATGCCATAATGATGGCATATTCAATGAAAATGTTGGCATATTGAAGAGTAATTATGCCATCATTTTGGCATTTTCAGAAAAATATGACATTTTTTACCAAAAGTGGAAGAAATTTCTCCAATCGGAGGTGGTGGTGCTGGGAGGCGGTGGGAAAGGTATCCATAATTTTTTTCATATTTTATGGGTTTTGACTATTTTTTATTATTTTTTAAAAAAAATTAAAAAAATTAAAAATTAAAGTTTTTATTTTATAATTGTTTTGTAAATTTTTTATAATATTTTTACGATTTTTAAATATTTTTTACGTTTTTTATGATTTTATTATGAATTAAAGCATTTCATTATGAATTAATACTCTTAGGGTTATTTAGGGTAGAAAATCAATGTTTAGTCCTATTTAGGGAATTTTAAAAGTAGTAGTCCTATTTGTGCTTTTTAGGAACTCATTAGTCCTATTTAGGACAATTTCCGAATTACAACTCATAGTTTAACATTTGTAGTAAAAACCATAAATTTATATCGTCTCCAACTAGTCGACTTTACCAACTTTATATTGAGTGTGAAATAAGAAAAGTAAGATTGTGTTATTAAGATTTGTGCAAAGGAGACCAAATAAACAAAACCACAAATTCATTATTTTAAAGGGGAATCAATAAAGTTTTGGGGAAAAAAAGGAAAACTGACAAAGTAGTGAAACGGATGGAGTATTAAATTTTCAAAATAGTTCTATTATACTATTAATATTAAATTGTGATATAAAAACCTTAAAAGAAGGCATTGGACACAAAAAGGATTTTTTTTGTTTTTATTTTCAAATTCCTAATCCAACATGTTTTTTAATTTACTAGTGGCGTACACACTTCGTGCGATAAGTGCCCAAGACAATATACGATAGTATTAGTGTGATATCATGAATGCAATATTTGATTTATATTTTTCGATATGATTATGTGTAAATTTTATTCTTGAAGTAGATTTTAGTGGGTTGTGAAGTATGATTAAGGGATATTTCAAACTTGGATGTATGTACTTTTCTAATTCATACAATCGGTTGAGTAGGTTATACTACGTACATAAATAAGATGGTGGACAAGAACATATTACTAAAGAGACAACTTGTAATTATTAAATTACAAAATGCTATTTGCGTAGGCAATTTTGGAGCCCATTTGGTAACGTTAAGATTGGCTGAATTGACTTATTCTACTGAAATTTATGAAATTCTAGTTGAAGTGACTATATTAGTTGATTCTGTTGATTCCTGGAAAAATTATATTTAAAATATTTGTTATTAATAAATTAAATAAAAAATTATAAAAAATGATTATCTACAGTAACTTCAGCGAATACAGCTAGAAAAGTAGCTACAACCTTACTTTTTCTGCTTATTACAAAATTCAGCGCGCAAAATCAAAAGCTACGTGTTTGATGAAAAAACTGGTTGATAAGCCTGATAAGCCAAAAAAGGGGGTCACCAAACGGGCTCTTGATCATACTTCTTCCGTCCTTCAAACCTGGGCAACGGAAGGCCACAACAAGGAGTTTCTTGTTCATACCTTTTCGCAGGTCATCTTCTAGGAAAGACCCTTCATTGCTAAGCGAGTCCCTGAGAACGAAGAAGTACGAGTGCATCCAACCCCTGTCATTCGCCTTGTCAACCTTTTGAATAAGTCTTGGTCTCTTATCTTTCATGGCCAGCGTGAATCTGCCGAGTCCGGAGGTGCGAAGGTCGTAGGTGAAGCCCAAATCTTCAAACTCGAAGGGAATGCTATACTTCTCACTCAAGACCTCCAGCGCGCGTAGAATCCTCCACACCCGTGGCATGATTTGGGAAGGTGAGAGGTGGACGAACTCTAAGAAACCCCGGGTCAAGGAAGAAAAGGGGAACTTCATCCCAATTTTGAAGGGATAGTACAAGAAATTGACCCATCCAGGGCAAAACCAGTGCATGCGCTCGTTCGCTGCAGGGAAGCGGATGACGGCGTTGGGAGGAAAGCCGGCGGATGTTTGGATGAGTTCGACTTGTTCTTCGGTAAGTTTCGCTTGCTTGGCACTTTTTGGTTCAAGAATGTGTTGGGGAATGAACACTTGGGAAGCCATGGAAGCAGAAAGAAACGAGGAAGGTGGAGTAATTCTTGAAGGAGATGAAGATTTCGAATTGAAAGTGATGATGACACCGGTTGAGTATTCAAGTAGAAGTCTTTACGAAGCTCAAGACGTATTAATTCGAAGGAAATGTTGTCTTGGACGGTGTCAACTGTTCCTCCGAATTGGGGGCAATTGTTGGGCCACTAATTACGCTATTGGTTGCCGGCCCATCTTGCAAGGAGTTGTGGAGAAATCCAGCAAAGGAAGGAGGATCCAGCCCAACGAAATCAAGGATTAATGGACCGTTTAGAAGAGATAAGCACAATTCGAAACTTGGAGCAAAAGAATAGCCAAGCACGTTCATAAGTCCCTGCTATTTCGGTGGGTGGTTAGTTGGTGGGTTAGGATGAAAAATCATTATTTTAATAAAGCTATTGTAAACGAAGCACTAATTCAATTAAAAAAACAAGAGACTACTCATTCGAACTGCTAGTATCATAATTCTCAAATTCTAAGCAATTCGTGTTTATATTCATTAATAATTTTCAAGACAAAGTTTAGTTATATTAGTTTTTACAACCTCTTGCACGAAGCCTCACATTCATTCAATTGTTTAGAAGGATAGTTAATTCTTTGCTTAAACAATTTGCATAGGCAATTTTGATCATACTTCTTCCGTCCTTCAAACATGGGCTAGTTAGACCGGCACATGGATAAGTTAAAAAAACTACATGGTTCAGGATTGTGTAGATTGGAGATAATTAACAAAACTCAAATTATTTACTTAAAAAGAAAAGTGGGAAATTCAAGGGGATAATAAAAAATAAAAAATTGACAAAAAAAAAGGATGACACCTCATACCGATCGATGAGACAGTTATATGAGAGGATGTAAGCTAAAAAAATAAAATTTGACAAAGTTTAAGAGGCGGTGGGAGTTTAATGTTCTATCGCATTAAATGGTACAAGAATATCTATATATCTATATCTATATATCTATATTAATCCGCTTAAGTGCGTTTCCGGCTCATGACTAGGGACCTTTGTGTAAATGGGGCTAATATCTCTACTCTTCAGAATTAACTCGCATTTACCTGATCTCTCATTTACGAACGCTCTTCCACTTTTTTTCTTCTTCTGCTTCCTTCCGAGCTCTCGATTCATCTAAATAATATGAAGCGAATTTTTGTTCATCCATCTCACACCAATCTCACAATTGTACAAGACAACAGGTCTTCAAAACCCTAATCCATAATCTTCGAAGAATTCTTCCAGTTCTTGACGGCTTCTTTAAATCACAGTTCTTCCTCGCACAATGCATTGAATCTAATTCTTCTATTCATGTATACAACTTAATCCTCCTACTTCGTTTTTAGAGTATATTGCTATTTACTAGATTAGTATTCGTGTAAAGAAACATGGAATTTTTGTAACCACAACATACATTTGATAGTTGCTCATTTGCTTAATTTGCAGGTGCCAGTTACTCCCTTTCGATCTCCAGTTATCTTTTATTTTTTCAGGTATCCTGCTTTCCTCTGCTAATTTGACGAAGTTTTCGGACTTCTCAGATAGATACAGACTTTATCTCCTGTCTTCTACTAATATACTTGGAGTCTTGGAGAGTTCATCTCAACAAACCTCACAATTGTTTGTTAGTATTATAATCCGTATGGAACATGCCTTAAGCTTATTCAGCATCTAACTTAAATTCCTCCATGTTCTATTTTAAAACATAAATATGAGGCTTAAATTTGAGGCTTAGGTGTTATAACTATATCTAATCTTCACACTATTTTACCGTTCTAGCCATTGTAGTTTATATCAGAAACTATTAATTCTCTAATGGATACGTGGGAAACCTGCGAGATACCTGCGAGTCTGGAAAGGCGGACTGAGAGCAAACATCAAAGACTACAAGAGCCAGAGAATCAAAGTAGTGCTCTGCCCGGGACGTGGGGTTAGCACCTATTCCCTTTCTTCTGCTGAAGATGTCGAGCAAGTTTTACTCCCTATCTCACCAATTGAGATTAACAAAGTTTGACTTTCACTTAAAATCATAAAATGATAATTATGTAGTCCCATACGATGCTTGATAAACTAAAAGTTATTAAATGTGTGAGGCAGTTCTTTAAGAATACTATAGTTGCTCCTCTCTTTATAATTACATCTAAAGACTTATCTGCTAAGTCAAAAGTTGCATTCCAACCATTTAGTGTTACTCAAATCTGTATTAGTAATTTACTACT